AGATTGTGTGATGAAGGCAACAGATTTTCTTAATTTCACTTAGTTATCTTTTTTCTCTCATTCACCCCTTTTCTGACACAAAGATATGAACCATAAAATAACATTGGAAATTGAATAGCTATAACTTCATCAATAGTTGTCTGAAATGAACGGTTTTTATAGTTTTGTAGAAAATTCCATTATGTTTCAAAAAAGCAGGCTAAAATCTTGGCACAGACAGACCAATGGCTAAAAATGTGTTTTTCGGACTCAGGAGGCTCTGAAACGTATAGATCCCTCAAAACAGCATATTGGAAATTTGACCCGATTGCAATACATTCCTTTACCTAGTATAGATAGGAAAGTAAAAATGTGATACAATTTTTGTTGTATTTTTCCTCAACGTAATGGACGTTTGCACTGTTTTCTATACACACCCGAAATTAGAGGAAAATTTGCTACAAAAGATTTCATATAAACAATGAGCTATTTTCGGCTGAAAAGCAGAGAAAGGCAAGTTTTGTAATTTTTTAGGTGTCATGTTTAATTTTTAATAGGAAGCGATAACCAAAGAAATATTGAATTTAAGTAATTAATGATTGCTTGGATGTAAACTAGACAAAATTCATATAAAATAAAAACAGAGTTTGTCATTGTTAAAACCACTTAATGAGAACTTTTTAGTGGCTAAATGAAGCTAACTTGTTTTAAAAAAAATTAAATTATTCCTTATTTTTTTTTTTATCATTATCCAACTATACTACAGGTACTCCAACAATTTTAGAAACACTTCCTCGTCTAATAAGCTTTAAATCCATATTGATTAAGTGGAGGTTTATTAGGCAAATTCTTGAGATTCGTCTCAAGTTTTGGAAAAAAAAAATGATGTGATTTTATGCCCTTTCACCTAAAGGTCTTAAGCAAAAGTGGCTATAATAAAAAATTGCAAAGCTTTTATTTATCGGTTTTCCATGATCTGGAATGTATTGCGATAAACATAATCGCCTGAATAAACTTTTTATTTATAAAAAAAAAATTATCATTCAAATATTTTTTTTGTAAAGTGGTTATAGAACTATTTTACTCTCAGATCTCTGTTATAGGAATTTATTCGTATTTATAAATGACAAACTTAATGTTCCTGATCCTGATATTTATGTTTTCATGAAAATATTTACAGCAATCACCAAGGTTTCTTTTTTTATTATAAAGTAATTTTTTGGACTAGAAACATTAAGTTTGTCACTTAAAAATACTGATCATGGATCCTAACCTAATGGAATATTGAAAGATTTGAGAGAAAAATTCTCTGCTTTTTAACAGGAGTGATCTAGAATCAAAATACTAATACATAGAAGAGATATAAGGTAAACATGCTATATACAAAACATTTAAAACTATTTGCAAAAATAAACCAGTATGAATGTACACTTTTAAAAAAACAATAAGGGAAAATAAAAATATATCAAATTCTTCCTTAAAATAAGCTTTATGTATATGTTGAGAAAAGAGAAAGCTGAACCTGACAATATAAAATGCCTGGGTAATATATATAATACATTATCATTTAAATGTTCAATAATATATATAAATCATCATCATTTATTAATTTACGATATTAAAAGTTTAAATAATTTTTTTTAATTTTAGAAGTTTACATTTAGTAAGAAAATTTTATTTAATTTCCTTGAAAAGATATTATTTATATTTTTTTTTTGTCACTCTTCGTTACCTTCTACAACTTTATATATTAGATATTGTTTTTTTCCAAAATTCTCTGCATTCAACCGATATGTTATATGTATACCTTCTGATCAGTATTTCCGGAGATTCATTTTTGACCTGGATAAGTATTTTTATTTTTTTTCTCCTTTATTTAATTATCAACTTCTTCCAAAAGTTATATTTAGCATTTTTCAATAACTCCTAACAATGATAAATATTTATTATTTATAATTACTTTAGATGAAGATATGATAATGTTGGGATTTCACAAAGGGAAAATTAATCAAATTATTCACTAATTTAATTTTCTAAAAAATTACATAACAATTTTTTTTAATAAACATTGATACCTAATTATTTAAATATAATATCAGATCTATAATCACTAAACTACAGTAAATGTATTTAAGGTTATAAACAAATGCTTTATACATCCATGAAATGATTTTATGTTTTACTTCTTCTTTCACACAAGTACAATGAAATAGTTTTTTAACAATGCCATTGCCTTGATTAGGTGGATTTTAAATACTTCCTGCAAACATAAAAATATTTTTAAAGTTTATAACTAGTTAGTAAATTTCATTTAATTTCCTTGAAAACATGTGATTTACGTTAAACATTATCAGTTCTCAAAAATTATTATTTATAATTTTTTCGCCACTCTCAGTTACCTTCTACAACTTTCTATATTAGTTATTGTTTTTATAAAATTCTCTGCTTTTCAACGATATTATAAGTAAACCTTCTAACTTGTATTTCCGGAGATTCATTTTCGACCTGTATATGCATTTTTATTTTTTTCTATTATCAAATTCTTTCAAAATATATATTAAGAATTTTTTTTTTGTAACTCTTAATAATGAGAGATAATTAATTATTTAAAATAAACCATATAAAAGGTACTTTAGAGGAAGACATATATGAACATTGGGTATTTAAGCCCTGTAAAGTGCATCAATTTAGATAAGTTCTAAATGATATTAAAGACCACTTAATTATTCAGTGATACACCAAGTTTAATCAAAATCGTTAGCGCCGTTCTTGAGAAAATTGTAAAAATGAGTTTCACCATCGTTGATATAAAGTGGCACTTCCGGTTAGCCGATTTTAAGGAAAAAGTTGCTACCACATCTTAAATACGTAATATCAGTTTCGTACAACTTTCGGTTTTTGAGCTAGACTGTTCATATACACACAGACCATTTTTAGGGACATAGTTATTTGGACTCAAAGGACCTCAAAACGTATATTTCCGTTGAAAACTCATATTAAAAAATTTTAACAACATCGCAATACTTATCCTCACTATATATTACATATATAGGTAAGTGAAAGTAATAAATCGATAAAAAAAAAGAAGGCACTTTATGGTTTTTGTCAGTCTTTCTTTAGTTTATTTGTCTTTTTTTTTTCTGATCAGCTGTTTAATTAGAACATTTCCTCACCTAAGTTGTGATCTTGAGTTTCTTTTCTATTCTGTCCTGGTGGCTGAATTGGAGAGACCTTAAGGGGATATTTTATTCTTTACCTGCATTTTAGAAGAAAAAAAAATCGTGTGATTGAATTTTCATATTATAACCTAACATTGATTTGATTAAATTTGCAGAAGCTGAAAATCATCATCAAAATAAATAGAGGTCATACCCCTGAACAAGTTGTCTATCAATACTTGCTACCATTCTCCAAATACCATTAATAGTATGTATGATCAAGCGATCTTGAGACCATCCATCAAAGTGAAGGAACTCTTGTAGAGTAATACCTATTTTTCTTTGTTACTAAAGGTGCATTTAGACATTTCAAAAACTATGAGAAACACAATTATTTAACTTAACTAATAAGGATATTAGGGCTGAGCTAAACTTTTTTAAAAAATTTTCTTGTTACAATCAAAACGAAAACTACCATTTAGATATTTGTTTTTCCCATAGTTTGTCAAATGTCAAAATATACCTTAATGTCCTCGGCCAATCTATCACAATACTACATGGACTAAAATATTTTTAATTACTAAAATAATAGGGTGTATAAAAACAATGGCTTTTTTCAACCAAATATTCGTATTATTATTTCTTTTAATATAAAATACAATTAATACTCAAAATATAGTCCATTGTTATCTACTGTCATTAGCCATCTGCTGGCCAATTGCTTGATCCCACGATTCTTTGATTAGTACCATTCTTTGGGATGGCTGTCAAAGAGCTCTTCAACCACAATATCAAATTCTGCAAATTATCAAATTTCTTGAAGAAAATGGGCCATGGATCTAAATAAGCAGTAATCCGATGGTGCGAGGTCTGGACTATATGGTAGATGAGGCAGGAGTTCGAGGAAAATCTTTAAACCTTTCTTTGGTCAAATGGGATGTGTGAAGACGAGCATTATCTTATTGGAATAAAATTCCTTTTCAGTTGATCAAAACAGGATAATGCTCTTACAACTTTGCGTACAATCTTTCCAGTAGTTCAGAATTCATAGAGCATCCATCAGGAACAACTTCGTAATGAATAACATGTTCAAAATTCCAAAAAATGCAAAGCATGGATTTTTTTATTCAAATTTCCTCCTTGCAGAAACCGGAAAAGCATCGCAGTTTGACTGCGATCTAGCTATTTCTCACAGTTATTTGGATTTCTTCAGTAAACCCACTTTTCATCACAGGTGACAACCTTCATGTAAAATCTTATATCAGAAGGATTTTTCAATAAATTTTCATAAATTTCTAATATCTCTCAGCTGATTGCTTAGGAGTAAATTTGTGAGGGACCATTCTAAGGCTCTTTTTCACCTACCCCATGGAGAGTAGATGGCGACTAACAGTATCTTTCGACACACCACACTTCCAGGCAAGTTCACGAGTACTTGTGGACGGATTTAACGTAACAGCTTCCTGCAGAACCTCATCAATATACATTGATGACAGCCCGGAGCTCTTCTTTCTTTCCAACGTTGTATCTCCACTGCTAAATTTTCAAACCATCGCCGCACAGTGTGCTGGTCAAGGCCAACTTCCCCTTCATATTTAATAATTTCACGAGTTGCTTCTGCGGGGCTGTGAAATTTTTTTCAGTAATGCTTTAAAATTATGAGAATTTCGTAGGGTACTGTCATGTTTCTTCTTTGAAGCAAATAACTAAATTGAGGCTTTTTATTAAGTTTAATGGGATTAAATAAGCTTATAGGATGCTCTAAAGGGATTATTAAGTATTGGTAAGAATGGTTGATCATGGTTTTTTTTTATACACCGTATTATTGTATTAAATGCTCAAACCATCTCTGCTAGTTTGAATAACACTAAATGATCGGGAAACTTGAGAAATAAATATGTATAATGATTGATTGATACAAAATGCAGACAAACACTTTTTTTTTTTTTTCTTCAAATCTAACCTTTCAAGTCAAGAGCTGTGAACAAGAATATGTCTAGGATCTTCCATTGATTCCTTGAATTTTTTGAGGTATTCGATGGCATTTTCGTCATCTATAAATTTCTTGTCATATGTTAAAGATACATACATCATAGGATATGCGACAATCTGAAAAAATAATTATTCAACAAATTGTTATCTTTTCAAGAGGCACAATATATTTCCTTTGTTAATACTTTTAAATGGCATCTTATCTTAAAATATCTCAAAACATGTTTCATCTCAATTTAAATTTATTTTAAATGATACAAACAAGCACTCACTTTATATAATAAGATAAACATGTTATAAAGGAATAAAATGTGTTGTAATTAATATAAATGTTTTCCTTCAAACATAATTTAAGATTTAAAATCATAATACCCATTTGTAAAGTATAAAAAATACCAATTAAAAAATGATAAAGGATAATCAAAACACAAGGTTAGTATTGAGTTGAAATTCATAAAATATGATTTTTGTAAGTAAAATTGAGTATGTAATAAATAATACACTAAAAATTTATCAATTAGTAATTATTAGAACAGAATTTTAATTTGAGTCAGTTAACCAAAACGACTGATCATTAATTCTTCCAATATTAACAAAACATAATATCTAAGGATTAAAAATTTAAGTTCTTCAGTAACCATCAAATCAACAATCCATGGGAGTTAGTCGAGAGGAACTTGGAAGAATGTGTTGAAATTGGTGGTATCTGTATTGAACCTTCAGGTTCACTAATCTTTTCTCTTATTATTATTATTAATATATTCTAATAGGCCCTTTTCCTTATAGTAATGCATAAAATACAATTGATAAAACTTGTCACAAGTTACACGTTAGTAATTTTTGTATTTCTCTTTGGAAAATTTGTTTTTGAGGATGAATTCTTCAACTGTTTTTCTTCTCTTTGAATAGCTGCTTTTTGGATTTTTTCATGGATAAATGTAGTAATTATTTGGTCTTCCATAGCATCAGAATCTGATTCCAAATCTTTGTAAATTTCACTTATCTCACTCATTATCTAACCCTACTACAAAGGAACGCTGTTGGAATATTTATATATTTTTTTTCTTCCTTGCCTCAGCAACACTGATTTTTGGTTGAAGTATCATGCTATATCTACCACTTATTCTCTAGTTCTTCTCTCTTCTAATTTATCAGAGGACAAAAAGACCTCCACTAATTCTTTTTACCCGTAACGAAGGCTACGTACGAAGTACAGTTAGCCATCCTTGCTTTCTAACTGAGAGAAATCTTCCTCTGTGATGTTAGAGTCCAGTTACCCTCAGTAGTTTGGTCCTTATTGACTGGGGTTAACTAATTTCCTTTCTAAAGGCATAAAGCTTGGTGCTCTGTGAGGAATAGCAACAGACAATATATATATATTTTTTTGTTCTCTTCTTTGCCGTTTAGGCTATACAGGGGTTTTCCTGGGTGAGAGTGGAGGATTAATGCTAGAGTTAAAAGCTCCTCCGGCACCGGGACACAAACTGGTACTTATTTAGTAGCGGGTAGCGTCCAACAGCTATCTGCCAATGTTTATAACCTTAACACTGATAAGCTCTTCATATTAATTTTTATTGTATTATATTCATATTATTATATCTTCATATTCATATTTATTGTATTGTATTGATATTATTGAAATTGTGAACAAAAATAGAAACAAATGTAATAATAAAAAAATACTTTTACTTTACATCATATATATTAAAATACACCAAAACATTATAAATATATAATTAAAAAACATTGCAACATATAAATCAAAATAAATGAAATAATAAAAATAGGCAAAAAATAGACAAAAATAGATGAAATAATAAAAAAACTACTTAAACAGCATATGTACATATAAAAGAAACATTATGAAGAAACTATATAAACAAAATATGAAAAATTTTATTTTAACTTGATTTATTTTGGTAGGGAAAATAGTTTTATGGTATTTAAAATAGCAAGGAAGGGATACTGTTCTCTATGCATGCCCCACATGATTTTTTCTTTTCGAAAAAAGACTCTCGTCTACTTCGACAACTTTGCCAGGCCCTCCAATTTTTTTATTCGACCTGTATAACATGTCATGGCCATAAACTTCTCTAAAAAATCTGTTCCATGCTACGACAGTTGTGATGGATAGTTTGACCTGCTCTTTCCCCCACTGTATTGTTGTTAAATTATGGGACCATCCATAAATGAATTTTAAAGCCGTTAAATAAGGAATTCTCGACCCCTCTAACCAAGTTCCTTTCCTTATAGAAACGGTTTTGTTACAACTATGAAAGCATCTCCATTTAATCTTCCCGTCGAACTTCATTTTATGATCTTCATCACAATATTTGACCTTTGCAAATATCGCAGCATCTTGAAAAATATTTTATAGCCTCTTCTTCTGAAGACGGCAATTCCCACAATGTGACAACATCCATAATTAAATAACACTAACCTAACTCACAATTAACACAAGATGTAGCATATTCTAAATTTGATACTTTGGGTGTTGTAATTTAATTGTCTAAATCATATTGTTTATAAGGAGAACATATGTTTTTATTAGTTAGTATGTAAACAAGTGTTTTGTTTGGTTGAGTTAATAAATGAATTAAAACATTTATTTTGATTTATATGTTAAGAATATAATAGTGGCACTGCGGACATATAGAAAAGAATATACATGCCTCGAAAAAGAAACGTAAACATCGTAGACACGGAAGATTTAACAGAGAAAGAAAATATTGCAATACAAAAATTTAATATTCCATCGTTCGATCCAGAAGAAGAAGACTGGGAATATTACGAAGAACGATTTACGATTGAACTGCGAGTTCGCGGGGTCACATCACGTGAGAGTCAAAGGGATCCCTTGCTGGCCAATGTAGGATCCAAGTCATTCAAAATACTTTTTGATCACTTCAGGCCAAATAAGATTAGTGAGATTTCTTTAAAAAATTTATTAATCACGTTACGTTCGTATTATATAAAAAAATATTGTACACTCAACAAAAAAAAACACTTGTTTACATACTAACTAATAAAAACATATGTTCTTCTTAAAAACAATATGATTTAGACAATTAAATTACAACACCCAAAATATCAAATTTAGAATATGCTTCACAAGAAACAAAAAATAAACAAGGGAATAACTCAGGTTAGATGAGATAAGGGAGGTTGTGTGAAATGAGATTAGATAAGAAGGGAGGTTTTGACGCTACCCGCTACTAAATAAGTACCCACGAACTCATACTTATTTTATCAAATGATATGTTTCATCATAACAGCAAAAGTTACTGGGCATCACAGTGCTGTGCACACGCGTTAGCCCGCCCCACTCTCAGTGATATGCAATAAATCAAGGACGCATTTCAATTTAAATCTTGAATTAGAAAAAAAAAATGTTGTTTTAAATTGGAATTGATACGACATGAACACTGAATATTTTATAACTCAATAATTACCCTGTTCTCTTCAAAGATGGGCCTCTTAACAATACTGTGTATCCCGAGCGTGCATGTTTTGGAGTGGGTTGGAGTTCCTACAATAGAACCAATCTCCCACTCAGGTGAAATAGTAAATCCTCTTTCACCTTTATGAGACTTGTACGTACCCGCTGCGATCTGTTTCTCGATCTCCACAATAAGTCTTGTAATATCTACATAAGACATTTTTTCAACATTTTTCACTGTATGAAACACTAACACCTGAAATATAATTGATTTTAGGGATGATATAGCAATGCGATAAAAAATACATATTTACAAAGTAAATGAAAAAAACCTGTTTACTTTTAGATGTCGGATAGCAACGGTGATTTCTAATTCTTTTGATTCCACTCGTTCATCGTTGACCAGTTTGATGTTTAACTGTTTGTTAAGTTTGAGAGCATGAGCTGCAGTTTTGATATAAATACTCCTCAGGCAAGGTTTATTTCCATATTGCACTTCATAGACCCCAGAATATTTGTTAATGAACTCAATCGTATCTCTGGAAATATTTAAATTATAAAATAAAATTCCGGCTGTAAAAGAAAGGTCCGACGCAGGATTGGTAAAATATTTAACGATGTTGATGATTTGGCATGGTTAGGTAGGAGCAATTCAAAAGCTATTAAATTAATTTAACATTAAATATTAAAGAAGACTACTACAGACCCAACTCCAGGTTCGCCCCACGGCCGATGAAACAGAATAAATAACTTTTCTGTCATGAGCCAGAATTCGAACCTGGGACCTTGAGCATCAGTACCCTAGTACTCCACTCCCTCTGTTTTATGGTTTTATTATTATTGTTAACTATTTATTATTTATTTTATTAATCTTATTATAACTATTAGCTATTTATTATTACTGCTAGCTGTGCAGAAGGTTAAATTTTGCTTTAAGGATGGATTTCTACTTATCTCTGTTGAACAAATCCGCTACTTAGGACTCCATTTGGACAAACGTCTTAGATAGAATCCGAATGCAAGACTGAAACGACAAGAAACTGCTCAAAGTTTCCGACTGCTCTAACACTTACTAAACAAATGCTCTAAACTTTTAAAGAATTCTGAATACTTTATACTCCTTTTCAACAACGTTGTGGAGAATATGTGGTGGCCTGGAATAATGGACAAGTTACAGAAACAACCAAGAAGGAGGATAATGAACAGTCCAATGTGGTTGTGCCAAAGATCAGTTTTGGGACTTCTCTTACGAAATATAAATATGAACCCTCTCCTTATTAAATTGAGGGCTGCTGGGGGTATACACCATCTACTTACATAGACGACTTAGCTGTTGCTATTAAGGAAAGATCTCGACAAAATTGAATCGTAAAACAAAAAACTGTGAAATTTACAGCATCTATAGAGATCTAAGAATCTTAGAATTCATAAAATTACAAGGTCGAGATGGCTGAGACACCTATGAAGAATAGAATATGACCAGGCAGCCAACAAGCTCTATTCTAGCCTTCCGGAGGGAATGAGAGCACGAGAAAGATGAAGGGACAGAGAAGCCTGGGCAAGAGTGTTGGAGCAGGCAAAGGGCCCCCTAGTGCGTCAGTCGTGCCAGACTAACTAAATTATATTAAATATTAACTTATTTGTTTAAAATAATTGGCAATATATAATTACTCACTGCATATTTACTTCATTAATGGTTGTCATAAGCTGGGAAATGGGATACACTACAGTTTTGGAACAAGCATTAGGAATCAGACCCATTCCTGATTGGAACGGGGCAGTGTCTCGTTTGTAGGGGTCCATGTTGTTTCCTGTTGCAACTGTAAATTTTATTTTATATATATATATATATATATATATATATATATATATATATATATATATATTATTTATTTATTTAGGTTTTATTTAATTTATATTAGGTTTTATTTATTTCATATAATGTAAATAATTCATAACAACGAAAATCTTTAGGTGTGAATATCTCCTAAACAATGTGTTTTCCCTCTGTGAAATCCCAAAATTATCATGTTTTCCTCTAAAGTACCTTTAATTTGGTCTATTATAATTAATTAACTATTTCTCATTGTTAGGAGTTATGAAAAAATGCTATATATAACTTTTGAAAGAATTTGATAATTAAATAAAGGATAAAAAAAAGAAAAATACTCATCAAGATCGAAAATGAAAATCCAAAATAATAGTCATAAGGTATATGCATAATATATCATTGGAAAGCGGAGAATTTAAAAAAACAAAAAAAAACTATATATAATATAGAAAGTTGTAGAAGGTAACGGAGAGTGACGAAAAAAATGTAAATAATAATTTTTAAAAACTAACATTAATTAACGTAAATCACATGTTTCCAAGGAAATTAAATAAAATTTTCTGACTTTATGTAAACTTTTAAATGTTTTTCTAAGTTTGAAAAAAAGTACTTAAAATCCACCGAATCAAGTCAATGCCATTGTTTAAAATACTATTTCATTGTACTTGTGTGAATCAAGAAGAGAAATATAAAAATATTTCATGGATATGTTTATAACTTTCAATATACCTACTGTAGTTTAATAACTCTGGATCTGATATATTTAAATAATTAGGTATCTCTTCTCCATTTATCCTGAAAAATCATTTATCATTTAAACTTTTAGAAAATTTGATGAATTTTCCCTTTTTGATATCCTAACAGTATCCACTTACAATTAGTGTGACAACTTTTGACCTGTCTATGACAGACAATGTAAATCTCGCAATTCCATTTTAGTAAACTTTCCAATGGAAAATAACAGTTTATTAACTAATGATATAATAATGATATTAACTAGTGATATAATAAATAAGATTTTTGTTATTTTAATGGTATTTATTATTTGTTAGCTGTAACCTTTAAGCTTAAGCTCAGTTAAAAATGAAATTCAAAAATTTTATAATAGCCCAACATCGCTAGAAAATAATTTCTATTCAAAGTTGAGCGGTAAGTGAAAGTTGTTTGTTGTGCACAGCAGATTATTTATTTGTAAGAATGAATATTTTTATATGTTTTTGGGGATTGCCCCATCCAAATATTTAGCTATATTATAGTCATAATAGATTTATATCAAACATTTAACAACCATAGTAAAAACAAAAATTTATTAACGAAAACTCTTGGAATTGGGGCATTTTCAATCTGGAGGGGGCAAACTTTGTCTATTTAATTAGGTACTAAAAACTCATAAATATGCATTTGCTTTCTACTTGGATCGTAGGATAATTTGATCACAAAATCGATAACAAAGGTGGCCCACAAAAATATTAGACCGTTTGTCCTATATAACCTCGTTATTTTGAAAATTTGGGGAAGTAGGTCACTCCAAACGGCTCAATATTTTTGAATGCCATCTTTTTTTTCGATTTTGTGATCAAATTATCTTATGATCCAAGTAGAAAGCAAATGTGTATTTACGAGTTTGTAAATAACCTACTAAAAGTTAATTTTAAATAACTTGTTTTTTGGCGGAAATAGGCGAATAGCCTTCCGCTTTATATCGGGGACTTAGGTTATTTACACTCGAGATAATTAAAACAAAACTCTGGATATAGACTTTTTTGAGGGTGTTTAACTGCTGTTGGGAATTCGGGAATCTAATACCTTTTGTGAGACTGAATGAGAAGAAACAATAAGAATATATATTTGAAATGTGGGACTTAGTAAATACAGTTTGAATGAATTCACCCACCTTGTTTATTATTCTTCAACAGTGATGAGGCCTATAGGACAACTAAATAAAAGGACTATTCACTCCTATCTAACAAAATAATTTATTTTAACAGCTGATAAATGAATATATTAAAGTGTTATAACTGTAGGCTTGATATTCTTGGTCTTCAATGTCCTGCCTCTCTCATCTCAGGTAACGTCCTCACGCCTCCGTGTCTCAGTCTCAAGTCTCTGGCGTCGCCTTCCAGCTGCTGCTACCTTACCGGACCTTTTTCCTTCTTTATCGATATGAGATTTTCCAATGAGCAATTTGTTCACTGCACAATTGAGTACAATTCACATTCCTATATATTATATATTCCTTCTCATTCCCTCACACAATGTCAACTAAAGGAGTAAATACAGGGTGATGTCTACTACAAGTTTTTAGTACCTAATTAAATAGACAAAGCCCCTACAGATTGAAAATGTCCCAATTCCGAGTTTTCGTAAATAAAATAGTTGTTGGTTACGATGAGATGAAATAATTTCAGGCGGATGTTAATAATTCGATAAAAAAGGGTCTGTACAACGGACTATAAACATAGTAAACAACAAAACACCACTATTCTCACTTTTAATTTTTGAAATAGTAAAAATGGATTTTTCATATGAAATGATATAACTATAACATTATTGGCAAATTCTTATTGCATTAATTGCATCATAAAATTCTTCAAACTCAACTTAATTGTTATCTTTTTTAATTCATTATTACTTAATCAACTGATTGATCCTTACTCGTTTTCTGTATTTCCGGTGTTGAAGATTGTATTTTTTGTACCTCTATGCTTGGCGTATCGGGCTTGTAGGGATCCACACCTCCGGACTCCGAAGTCCTGGAGCCAAGAAAGGAACTTTTCAAACCAGATTTAACGAGTGAGCCTGATCTTCCGACCTGCCAACGGATAGAGATAATATATACTTTCAAAGTGTTGACGTATTTCATATTTCTCATATATTTCTAATAATATATGAGAATTTTTTTTTCCTCTCTCCCCTTCCTTCCCTTTTAGGCTACACGCTGTTTTTCCTGGGTTAGTGGTGAGGGCAGGGATTAATGTTATAGGAATAAATGAGAACTGACCATGAAAATCACATATATACTGAAAGCATCTATGCATATAACATTGAGGATAGTAAACCAGAATTTGAAATATGCAATTAGTACTTACACCTTTCGACAACTGAAATTATATTTACTAAAAACACAAACATTTTTTTTCTCTCATTCACATTTCAGATAAGTCGTCGAACATATTGAAAACAGGAGACTGTGAGAATACATCACTGAAAATATAATATTTTAACTAAACTTGAGATTTTGTTGATAACTTTGTAAAATGTTTGTAAAAAAACAAGATGTATTGAAAATTACAAGTATTTAAAAAAAAAATTATTTATTATTACTTGAAATTCTGTCTATTTTTATTTAAAATTATGTTAATGTGTGCCACAAATAATATAGAAAAAACAATTAATTTTAAAATAGATAACAACAATTTAAACAGGCATGCATAAAAATGATGCCTAAAAAATAAATGTAATAGTAAATTAAAATAATGTAAAACACAATAGTTCTTAATTAACTACAAATATGAAAATAAAGAGAGAAGGAGATGAAATAGCAAAATGAGATTAGAACAAAGTCCAATTGCAGACAATAGATGCAGTGTGACATTGAAATGAGCTGATTCCTTAGCAAAAAAATTAATGTTATACTATAAAATAAAAATGGATAAGGATTCTCTTCTGATATTTTTTGGAAGATTATTAGGGATCAAAGAGGCAACAAGGTTAGAAACGAGAGGATTAGGATGGTTCTAAAGTTTATCATGGAAGGATAGGTTTCCAGATTGGGCCAAATCGGAAACATATGGTCATTATGATTTTATTTGTAACAAAGTAAGGTGCATTGAGGATTTTATGAAGGATTGGATACAACAGGAATTCAATGCTTTAGAGGAACTACTAAGCTCAACTCTGAATGTCCAAATAGGCATTAATACAGTAATTATTAGACCTTATATGAGTCTTTTGTAATTAATTGGTTGCTTAAGAGCATTCATCTAGTAAGTGCTGAAGTAGCTAGAAAGGTCGTGCAGTTTCTTGACATTTTAGTCTGATATGAAGATTCCAAATTAGATGTTTGTCCAAATGGAGTCCAAGGTATCCGATTAGAGTGGGGTATTATTAAAGGATATTGTAGGATGAGAAGTCATAGGTTTAGGACGAAGGATAAAGGTGATTTGATTTAAGAGTTTAATCCTCCAGTTTCGACACCATTCTTCAAGGTTTGTGATGTGTGATAGAAGAGTTTGGGATGCAATTGATGGGTCATTATAAAGTAAAAGGGCATAGGTATCATCGGCATACATGGTGATAATATGGTTAGAATTTGTTGGGATATCAGCTGTATAAACTGTGTAAAGGATATGACCGAGGATATTAACTTGAGGAACACCAGCAGACTGAGAAAAGAGGAGAGAATAGGCATTATTTTGTTTTACTTTGAAGAGCCTATTTAGTAAAATAGGAATGGATAATGAGAAAGTATGTAGGATGTAAGACTTTATATGGAGTTTGTAAAGCAGCCCCAAGTGCCAGACTCGATCAAAATTTCTTATACTTACCTAGTTCAACCATAAATACTGTTACAAAAGTTGAATTTTGTTAATATCCTAGGTTATTATTTAGACAATCCTTACCTCTTAGGTTATTTTCTTTACATGTCAGGATAATAATCCCAATTAGTTTGCATTTTTTTTTTTCGCTCAGTTAACATGGAGTGGGAGGATAAATAAAACCGAATAGCTGTGATTGCCATTGATAAAACCGAGATTTTCATTACTTTGAAACCTTTGAGTATCAGCCATATGTTCGTGTACTACACTATAAATAGATATAATGAGATTCTATCTGCATGTGACAGACCTCGACCGGACACTGTGAGAACGGCAAATGCATTGAGAACAATAGCTGCTCGAATCAGAAGAAATCCGATTCGAAAACAACAAATCATGTCTCGGGAAATGGGAATCTGTCAGATCCATGTCTCGCATGGTAAAAGGTGACCTTAGGATGGGTGCATTTAGAAGAATGACAGGACAAAGGCTAACCACTTCCCCCCAAAAAATTAAGAGTGGTTAGCTGCAAACTGCTCCTTGGCCCTTATACTAATGGTCTTCATCGAAAGATTTTGTTTAGATGAGAAAATTTTAAAAATTGAAGAAAAATTTAATCACCAAAATGATCGAGTGTACACACACAGTTCTAAAGAAGCCCAGGAAAGTCATTGGAAGAGTGGAAAGAGGTCATCACTCTTCCTCAGTGATGGTTTGGTAGAGAGTTTGCTTTGATGGCACCACAAAGCTCCATTTTTGTGAAAAAGGAGTTAAAACAGCCGCTAAAAACTATCAGGACAATATTTTGGAACCTATTGTTGAGCCTCTAAAAGATAGTTTTTGCTGGAAGTCATTGTGTTTTCCAGCAGAATTCCACTCCTGCTTACAAAGCCGGGTCAACTCAGCAGTGGCTGCAAAACAACATTTGGCCATCAGCAAGCCAAATCACTATATCATCGGCTTTGGTCCAAACTGGAGAGGATGGCATGCCACAGAGCACACCTTAATTTGGAAAGCCTCAAACAATCTCTGGTACGAGCGGTTGAGCGCTTCCCTCAAGAACTGCTGCGTGCTGCTATTAATGACTGGCCACTAGGATTAAATGCCAGTGTCATGCAAAAGGGGGACATTTTGAGTAATTTCTTTTTTTTTTTTCTTTTTTTTTTGTTTGTTTAACTCTCTATAGATATACATTTTATTTTCTAATAAGATTTTTGAAAAAAATAATTTTTCTGTTTAAATCTGCATATATTTTCTTGTAACAATATTTATGACAGGATTAGGTATTATAACTGTTTTCAATTTGTTGGTCAGTATAGATTGGGTAGTTATCTTATTTCATTTTACGGTAGAAAATTGAGCAATTTTATTTCATTTATAGCTCCCAAACAACAGAGCACAGAATACTAATATTAATGCTTCAATTAAACCATGACTGTCAGACATCTGTTCATTCATTAGATAAATAAATCTTGAATGGGCCTTACTAGCATACGTTAAGACCCTTACCAATAGGGTCCTCATAGAAGATAAAACCATTTAACTATTTACAATAAGATTTTTTTTCCAGCCGTGCTGGATGGTTCCCATAGAAGTTTATGATATTAAGTATTTACAATGAAATCAATTTAATAGGCATTTTATTCAGCCCAGAGAAAATTAATGATGAAAAGACCAGAATATGATGATAATCTTTAAAAAAAAAAAAATCCCTAAGATCCAATATTCATTACTTTTTTTATTTCATTTTATTAATAATCCTTCATTTTTGAAGTGAAAACTTCTTTAGCAACCTAAATATTGTTAGCAATGGAATGTTCATCATTTCATTTTCTTTTTAACGAACTGTTATTCAAAATTTCATCTTAATGTGAAGAAGTCGTGTTAGAGAGGCGAAAAGGAGAAAAAAAAAAAAAAAATAATAATAATAATAATGCTTTATTTATTCTGGGACGAGTCCCTTTAGAATAATATAAAAAGACAATAATATGGGCTAAGGAGCCTTAGAGATACATAAACAAAAATATACAGTAATTAAATAGTCAAAATAAAAAAAAATAATAGAAAAAATTATAAGTTATTAACTAATTTAGATCAGTTAAAAATAAAAAACAAAAAATTGAAAATAAACATGAAATAAAAATAACGAAGAACGCTCTAATAATTTATAAACATATTTACAGTAGAAACTATTTACAATTTTACTTTTCTATACTATTACAATAATATATACCGTTTAAATAGTAGAAAGGAATAATTGGGTAGGGAAATCTGGGAGTAAGGGATAAAAGGTTTTAACGAGGTTTTGGATATTGCTATTATGTGGTAAAAATTATCAAGGAAATGTTCCTGAAATTCATTCTAGTGTGCAGTAAGGGATTGTGCATTGATGTGACAGGAATTCAGGATATTAGTCATGACTGGAGGGTTGGGAAGTAGGATTTTGGAAAACAAAAAAAAATGATCAAGGATGGAGGATAGGATATAGCATAATCTCAAGTTTATAAATATAAAAAAACAATGCTTACATAAAATAAATTTTGAGATGAAAAAATAAATTTGCGGTGTTTCGAAATAAATATTCAGTTAAAATTAATTTATAACATCAGAAAATATAAATTTCTCCTTGGTCTAGATAAATTGATAAAAATTGGCAAAGGAATCGAATAAAGTTCTAAATAATTTATACAAAAATAAAAGAAGCTTAAAATTAAAATAATAATATTTCTGATGAGTAAAAATTAATACAAAAATAAAAAAACAAGAGAAGCTACATTTATAAAAAAATAAAGAAAGCTGAAAATGAAAAAAAATATAATAAATATATTTCTAGTGAGAGAAAGTAAATTAATTGCAAGCTGAAGGTAACTTATATACAAAGTTCAGCTGAAAACGTCCAGATCACTTGGTTTTTCTATAATTACTACTGGACCTCCATCTGATTGTCTGCAACAAATTTTACTAACCAATAAAGGTGTTTATTGGTAGGCGTCATGGCTTCACTCACGTAGACGGGGAGCGAGTCGTTCTCTCCCCAGCCTAGATGGCATGTAGAGAAACCTCTCTTCGCTCTTCGTTGCCGCACCAGCTCATCTCTCACCGCTTGTCTGACGAATCTTACTATAATTGGGCCTGGAGTCCCTTCTTGCTTGGGTCTTAGTCTCATGGCGTGATTGAGATCGTCCGGACTCAACTTGATGCCCAGACCAGCTCCGACGCTAAGAATCGTGCCAGTTACGGTTTCGCCGGCCTTCTCCGGAATTCCTCTGATTTCAATTGTATTTTTCAGTTGAAACTGTTCTGTGGAATTCAGGCGGCTTTCCAGCTCGGATATTTTTGTTTTCAATGTGTTATTTTCCATGGTTAATTTTTCAGTATGGGTTTTTTGCTCTTTCAGGAGTGTTTCAATTTTTAATATTCGCTCCATATTCTCGAAAGATAGTTCTGATTGCTTCTGGAGGGTTTCTTTTATTTTCTTTAGTTCGTCTAAACCCTGAAGCTTGGACTTCAATTCCCTTACTTCCTCGGCCAGAGTCCTCAGTAGGTCTATCATAGAATTAGGCTCAGTGGCTGGCAATGTACGCGACCCTGTTTCACAATCGGTGCACTTCCATTTTTTACTGACTTCTTCTGAGTCTGTCAAATCAATTTTTGTGCATTTAGCATGAAAGATGTTTTGACATGTGACACAAGTCAATTTAGTCTTGTTTTCTCTACCTGCCGTTTTTCCGCATAGTTTGCAATCAACCATTTTGAAAAAATAAAATAGATAAATATGTCACAATTGCTTTAAAATGAGAGAAAACGAAAGAAATAACAACAACAACAAAGACACCTGTTTGTTTGGGTGAAGGCTGGTAGGATTAGGCTGATGCTAGCTATCCCCACTACTCCAACTCAGCTGCTTCTATCACGTCCTTTTTTTTTTTTTCTTTTTCCAATATATAACTACTATCACCATAAATAACTGTATTGTAATATTAATGTGAAATTATGAAATGAATTAATTGTGAAAAAAAATAGCGGAAAAGTCTTCAAGTCACTGTTTAAATCATACAAGATAGGAAGAAACACTAGTTAAGCTCTTGACTGTTAGAGAGATACTCTAAGACGCTATATAATTTAATTTAACGCTATAAAATAATGTCGATAACCAAATGATAACGAGTTTTATGGAAGATATAGATAAAAATATCTCAGAAACTAATAATCGGATCTGCATACAGTAAGTATTGCAAATGTTCAGTATTACACCCTTTTTATAATCAGCTATTATTTATAATTTATATTTCATATCATTAATCTAGCCTTGTTGATGTTTTCATTTCTATCATCTGGTCTAAAGCAAACACTTTGGTTTTTTTTTCAGATGCTTTCTGAAATTTACTGGTTATATATTTAGTCTTTAACAGGTAAAGCTGGATAATATAAAAAAAAAAAAAAAAAAAAATGAACTTACGATTTCTTCCTCTTCTTCATAATAATCTTTTGTCTTATTCTTTTTCCTCTTTTTTTTCGTGTTTACTCTTGCTGAAACATCTAAAAACAAATAATATTCATAAATTGATAAAATTTTCTCTTCAAAATCCCTGTTCAGGAACCAAATATAATAATTAAAAATATATATATATATTGTAATGTTCTCGTTCCCTTCAAAAGTAAACAACCAGTTTCTTATTCAAATAACATTTATTTCTCACACAATAATTAATTCCCAGGTTGGGTTTAGACAACTAACACACATCCTCAATTATACAATAAAAAGGCATACATAATTTTATTACACTTATTAATAAATTTTCATTCTATTTGTCGGGGTCTAATCTCGGCGCGCCTTCGATCTTTCCATCTATATATTCTTCACTCACCCTGCGATGCAGCTACTTCTCTCCTGTACTGGTGCATTCAACTTCCTCAACATTCTACTGTTGATACTCACTACATGTTTTTACATTTTCTTCTCACCGATGCTCCATCCTAGCCAGCTGGCTACCTTCTACCTAGATATGGGGCTAGCTTCCCCCACCATCTGTACTTCCTGTCAATAGTTCGCCACGTTACCACCTTCGCGTTAGTATTAAAAAACATTATGTAATGTTTACATTACAATATATGTGTATTACATTACAATATATATATATATATATATATATATATATATATATATATATATATATATATATATATATATATATGGGGCTGGGGTAGCCATGTGGGCTAAGGTGCTTGCAATAGATAATCAAAGTTAAGCAAAGCGGGACCCGTCAGACTACTGGAGGCAACTCACACCAACCGGGCGTAGGATTGATGACCCTACCCCGTACTTTAAATCGGGAATCGTGATGTAGTCTAGGGGACCGCATCCGGCGGTCAAAGATCGTCATGGTATGTAGCGCCAACCGAAAAAAAATATATATATATTTTAATGTACACCTTTATTGAAAGTGAGTAAAAAGTGTTTAATAAATTAATATTCAACAATTAAAAGGGAAGCTAATGTAGTTATACTAGTGCAGGGAAAAGAAAATGGCTGCTCTGTAGTTTCCCAAGATGGAAAATCCCAAAGAGAAAAAAGCTTTTGGTTTTGGCAAACAGCTGTTGTGTGACTGTAGTGAAGATAGGATAGGAGAAGTGATGGTGGGTAAAACCCAGAAATAGTATTACCATCTTGGAAGTTGTGTTTGGCAGAACATTAGAAAGCATTTGAAGACTAGTATATATATAAAAAAGTTAGCTTACCAATTCATACTTGACTTTATTTCAAAATCAATGTTTAATTTTAGTACAAATGTGTAAACAATAATAGTTTGTCTGAGTTGATCTGATTGTCAGTAACACACACCTGAGATATATTAATACTCTTATATTTTGTTTATTATTTAACAACATCTTATTTATTTAGGAAGTATTCAAATGGTAAGAAGTGAGCTTCCGAGGTTATAATATTATTATTATTTGTAAAATATTAAGAGGGATGTTACAATATATATACTATTAAATATAAAAGACAATGAAACTAATAAAATTATTTGAATGAGGAAGGAGTGGTGTTGTAATTTTTTTCAAGTGGGAGAAACATATTTTTGTTGCAAAATACACCGTTGAGAAGACCGATTATATTCTTATCATTTATAATATTATTTCCAATTCCCCTTTGCATCTTTGAGTATTCTATAAATTTGAGCATAAATGGATGAAATGTAGGAAAAAAGTGATTTTGTTAATGTAAAATATTTCAACTAATTAGCTGAAGATTGTGAAATAAAAGATTGTCAGAAAAATATTTAAGAGAATCGTTACTTTATCTGCTTGATATCGCAATATATGACTGAAACTGAATTGGGAGATAAAGAAATAAAAAGAGAGAAAAACTTTATTTCTATAAAACAGTATATAAATACACAGCATATTTATTAATCGCAATTAATAAATGTTTTTCATTGGCAGTGCAAGCTTCGGCTCCACTAACGTGATATCACAGTTGGTGGGAGCGATAAAGGGCCAATGTCTCAAGTACTTAGTGCTGCTTGCATGATCTATAATTAAACCGTAATCTCTGTGAGGCTTATTTTGAATAATTGTCATTGTAGTTGTAATTTTTGTAAATTAATTTTTTTTTTTAGTGAAATTAATAAAATTTCTACTTTTACTAACTTAAGCTTCAAATAATAAAATTTCATTAATTTTAAATAAACTAAAAGTAATTATAAATTGTTCAATAATGTAGATAGAGACGGCTTTAAAGTACCCAAAGACTCAAGAGCAGGCAGAAATATTAATAATAAGTATAGAAATATTTTCATTAGTTTGACTCGATTAATAGTAAAAGCAAAGTATTCACTTTCTATAAAACTAAACAATTGGGTTATGTTGCTTTAACACAGTTGACAAAAATATTTTTACTATGAAGAGTTGTATTGTTGAGTTGTGAATGTCAGAATATGTAAATTTTCATCCTCAAATTCTTAACTGCATATTATTTTTTGTGATATACTCCTTTACATTTGTTGATGTAGGTTCTGCTCTGTGAATAAATAGTCATTAACTCATAAACGGTTCAGTTGTACAGAAAGCTATGTTGAAATGCATGTGATTGTAAACTATAATATACTGATGTTTGAAAATATATAGTTTATATTCCGATTAGAATTTAATACAACCTTTTACAGTTTTAATAATAACAATAAAAGGCTTCGAAGGTTCGAAGCCGATAGCACCAATAGTTTTTACATACCTCCCTTCACCTAAGTCCAATAATTTTACATGCCCACTTTATTCACAGCAATTACTAACATAATTACTTCAATTATATTAACCAGATACATTTCACCCAACTTGGCATTGTGTAACCGTCTAAATTCTAACAAATCCTTCTTCGGTCCGAATATTTTATGCCATACTTTTATTTTCAAAAACAAGAATGATTTTAAAAATTGTAGTTATCAAAAATATAAATAACTAATTCATTCATTAGTTAACTAATAATAGCTAAATTCTTACCAAGCCTGATTTTGAACAATTCATCTCCATGGGCAACAGTATCACCTTCATTTTTTCTTCTAACAGCGACTATTCCTGTCACTGGTGTTTTAATGTCTAAGGATCTTTCCTGAAACATGTTATTTTAATCAAATGATTATAATCTTTGATATTGCATTATTCAATTGCATAGGTTAGAAATTTAAAATTCAACATTCTCATCAAAATATGAATAGATTTAAATAAAATATTGAAAAATTGTTATGAAACATGTTTGAAACAATCGTTCAATTTTAATTGAAATGATGAAATGCTAGAAGAAGAAGCACAAAGTATTCTTGATCGCTCTGATAAAATGGCACTCATACAAAATAGTATTAGTAAATATTGGCATCTACTACCTGTGTCAAATTTAGAAAAAAAAAAAATAAAATTTAGAAGATTAATGTTTTATACTTCACTATTCGAGAGTATAGATATAAAAATAAAAGAAAATAATAATAATAATAAACAAAACATTTAAACATAAAAAAATATTTATAAATGAGTCACCTCCTTAAATCTGATCCTGCAAACAACTTCTCCAGCAGTGACCTGAGACCCAACAGCTGAAAAAAAAAGAAGTGTTTTCTGTAATTTAAACTTTAGTTGAGATATCCAATTTCATACTATAATATTTCATAGATAGAGTTGTTTTAATAAAAATAGTGCATGCCCAGCATCAGCTACACAATAACCTCAATGAATGACCAACGTGCAGAAATGGACCAGCGTATAACTAGTGCAAACAGAGCTTTCTACTCCATCTCAAAGGTATTGAAATCCCAAAAAATCTCAAGAAATCTCCATCTAAGGGTGTACAATGCTATGATAAAGCCAGAGCTAATGCAGAGCTGTGAGACCTGAAGACTAACCAGCACCCTAGAAAAAAATGTTGAAAGATTTGAGAGGAAAATCCTCCATACGATAACCGGAGCGATCTGGGATCAGAGTACTAACACTTTCAGAAAAACATCAATAGAGAACTGCTTACAAAAACTGGTCAATCAATATCTTGACATGAAGGCACGGAGGTTAAGATGGGTGGCGCATGTAATTCTTAGCAATCCATCTGGAAGCCTCTAACGAACAATGAATACCTCAATAGATGGTGAAAGACCACGTGGAAGGCCAAAAAGCAAATGGATAGATAGAATCAACAAAGATACAACAGAGCTGCGTGCAGATAAATGGAAAGAAATAGCTCATGACAGGCAGAGATGGAGCAGGCTTGTTAAGGTGGCAAAAGAAATATTTTAATTTATTTGTAATTAGTGGATTTACAATGAGGTCTGTTTCATCGCACCAGTTTATTGTAATTATTAATGAAATTTATAAAAAAATAAAATAAACATGATGAGATTTAGGTTTATTTTAGCAAATAGTTGACAATTGAAAAATTAAATTTGATCTATAATATACAAATTTTGATTCCAAAATATTACCACAAAAACCTAATGTAAGTATATAAAAATTGCTCTGACTATTGCAGCAGGGAAGTGAAGAATATTGATTGTTCCAAAATATTATAAAAATCTGAGGTTCTATCCACAAGCAGTTTTGTCTGAAAGGTAATTGATAAATCAATAAAATGTATTAAAATTACAAATGGAAACTGAAAAAAAAGACGGGACTAGACAATGGTTATTATTTAGTTCTTGTTTAAAATACTTGTTTTAAAATCACTACTTATAGCTCACAATTTAAATATTTGTTTTGAAACTTTAAAAGAATTCATGAATATCAATTTATAATGGTTATGGAATACCATATTCAATAACATCAAATGACAAGTATAAACCATTTCAGTATGCTGAATAAATTCATAATGTGATGCTACAAGGCCTGAATATTTTTTCCATAAACGGCTCCTATAACATATACAGTAATTTTAAGAATAATAAACCATTATTTTTATTCTTTTTACATTTACACACACAAATCTTTATAGCACATGTTTAGCCACTGAGTATCACTATACAATGTAATTTTCATAAAACATATAAAGACACTATTTTATTAATAAAATATTACTTTGAAACTATTTATTTGCCTTTGCAGATGATAATTAGATACAACATAGATAAGTAGAGGCATGATTAAAATGTGGAAAAAGAGGTTTATTACCATTAAGTAAGCAGGAAAATATGATCATTTTGTTATAGAGCAAACCATAACCATGATAATTTAAGTGTGCTTTTATATTTACAATTTTTTTCTGCCACGTTAATGATATAACTATTAGAAATATTAGTGTTTCGGATCTGTAACAGCAGTTATCGCTCACCTAGATCAAATGTAAAACATATTGCCAAGATCTCTATAAGCTAAATATTGAAATAAATGTTAAGTCTGATCAGACAACTTTTTCATTTTGATAAAATTCAAGCTCCAAGTGTCAAAGTAAGTTTTTGGTATAATGTTGGAGAAATATTTTAATGCTAACATTAATAATGAACTATAATAGAGGAGTCAACGAAATTTAAATTTAAAATAAAATAACAAACAAGCAATTATATATTTGATTTTCACTTAGATCTATGTAAATCTTTAAACCAATATTTTCAAAATCAACATCTCACATGGAATAGAAATTGCTAGCACTATTTATATATAAGTTATTCTCACTTTAATATAATTTAAGCTCACTTTTTTCCCACTCTATTTGTCCTGGAGCAGTTGATTCAGCTGCACCTGGTGGCGCTCTCACCAGTACCATTTCAAAACCATCTTCTTCTTCAACATTATCTATTTTAATCAAAACCATTAAAATAAACATTTATTGTCGAATTATGATAAATTATAAAAAATAAATTATATTTAAAAAACAAATATCGGTAGATGTAAACAAGGAAGAACCAGTTAGGAGTTTACGGAAGTCGTCAATCGCGAACTAAATCAAAACAGAGATCTCGCGGGATCTTGAAAACTTAAACAATACTTGTACAGTAGTAAAAAATATCGCTCTCAACTCAAAGTTTCAATCACGTAAATTTTCATGAGATCGATCAAGAGTTCCCACCCCATCAAGGGCAATGGCGCGTATCTTACCTCCTCTCTACCAAAAAAAATAAATAAATACTACTTTTCTCTTCTTAAAAACGATACAAGTGAAACTAGAATCATAAACATTGTAATATTATTTACAATTGCAAATTCATTTTGTTGTGGTTATGCAGAAGTTCGACATAATTCAGAACGATACGTTGCGACTGACTCTTATTGCGATAGACCGCTAATTAAGCTACTTCCAAAGAAAAGTGTTCGCAATAAAGTTAGTTATGTATGCTTGAGAGAATTGATCCCAGAATCACTATCTTTGTAGATTCTCAAGCAGCTATCAAGGCCCTAACTCAGAATAACATTTGCAATCGTGTCGTGTATGTCATAGTGTCGAAAGAAAATAGATCAGCCATTGCTGAAGGGGTCCCATGTGCTGTCGATGTTTACTTTCATGAGCTACCAAAATAAGATTATATAAATCACTAATCAAATCAGTATGTATGTAAGGATTTGAAACATGAGCTTTTTCTAAAATTAATCAACGATACCTACGTATATTTGAAAGAAAGATTCTTCGACTTATATGTGGTCCACTGAGAGAAAACACAGCATGGAGAAGGCGTACAAAGAATGAACTGTACTCTTTATTAAAACAACCGGATGTTGTTAAAGTGATTAATTTTGGCAGGTTTTGACGGATGGACAATGCTGCCTGGATGGATGCTCATGATATCCCAAGGAAACTTCTCGAAGAACTGCAAGTAACGCAACCGATTGTCCACCCCAACTGTATCTGAGGAATCTTCTTGGTGTTCGAAGCTGCAGAACAACTGTACTTAACCAAATGAACTAGTAAAAGCTACTTGAGAAAACCAGGATGGGTTGTAGTGGCAATTGATGTTGATGGCCAAGAAACGCCTAGAAGACAAAATGTTGTCTACTTCAGGTTATGAATTTGATACAATTATCTAATCAAGCTTTTGTGAAAATCTTCGTGTGTCCACTTTCCTCACTCAGCCAACTTGATGATATTATAGTCACATTTAAACACTTCCATGTCCTTATTACAGTAAGATCTTTTAACTCATTACAGTCTTTTAACGAAGACGAAACCATATGCTTGAAAAAAAAGCACTACTATAATAGGCTGCACAAGTACAGATGTCTCAAAAAGCTTGTCTAAATATGTATTTAAAAAATAAAAATAAATAGCTATGAAGACTGAAATGAATTATTTTCTTTGATTGTTTTCAATTACCACCAGGCTTGCCTGAAATAAGGCGTACAACTGGGGTGAAGATGTTATTCTGTTAAGAGAATGAAGAAGAAATGTTATTGTCACGAACGAAAACAATAAACCGGACACATGTGTCCATCACATAACCACGGAGGTTTAAAGCTTAAGAATTATTTACAGTGCTAACAATCAATTAATAAATGTATAGCTTTCTTGCAATTGTAATAAGTTAAGCTGTCACCATTTAAAAAGCATCCGTAAAGTTTTATTTCCTACAATCTAAATTTCTGGAATGAAATGTGGAGGAACGTAATTCGGCGTTAAAAAATAATTGTTGTAGTGCTGATGCTATTGGTTACGCAATTTAAAATATCTCATATGGTAATAGATCGTTGATTAAATAATTACAAAATGTAGTATAGTTCCTGCATTCATTCCATTGGTGATGATATAATCTATTACAATCTTTCTAGTTTCTGCTAAGAAACAATTTCAGAGCTTTCGAAAGCATATTCACTAGAAATACTGAGAAACCCATGAGTAGACAAGACGAAAATGGACTTCCTAGTTTTGAGTAAAATTGATTATTATTTACGAAAAAAATACTATTCAAGATGTGGCTTGTGGAAGGTTTAGAAATCAAACAACATCGTCAAACAGTCAATGTAAAGTCTCACTGTATTAATCAATCTGAAACATACATGAGCATATGTTTCAATAGTTTAATGTGTGTGCTATCAGAGAAATGATAGGTTTTAGTAATGTATACTATTGCTATGGCAATCATATCCACAGTTAGGTATTCAGCGTTTTTGTAATTCCACAAATGTCGGTGTCACGATTTGCTAGGTTACTTTTTACAACCAAATTGAGGGTCTCGTAATCCGGCTGAATTTAATATAATGTTGTAGTTAGATCATAACTGATGATTTAATATCAGAAAATACTAGACGATTATTATAACTCCCATAGCTTGATACGCAAAGACTATTCAATTAATAATTTTTAATTGGATTCGTCATTTCAAGACCTATGTCGTTCCAAATTTGAGCGAAATAAGGTGTTACTGAGTTTTCTTTTATTAATATTATTATATTAGCAGTATCTACCAATTAATTCTTCGGTCTGTGAAGGAAAGTGGTAGTAGATCAGTATTGGCGTACAAATCACTATGTGTTAAACACTCATTTCATTAATTTATTTGATGCATCATAACGATACACGACAGAAAATTACTGACGTTAAGGTATTCGATGACTCACATACTAAGTAATATAAAATCATATGCTTAAGAAATAAAGTAAACAAATGAATACTCACAGTGAATATGTAGAACAGGATAGAGTTTCATCCTATGGCACACCATAGTATGTAACCTAAAAAATAAATGACTTCGGTGAAAATTCAAATATGATAGGGATAATAAACGTGAGTGATACGGATAAATCACAAATTTTCACTTAAGAAAGAATGTTTTATTGAATATAGAGCACAATTTTGAAGTGCAGTTTCTTTAGACGCGTTTTGCTCTTTTTGTGGAGAGTTATTTATATTGAGCCGTCAGATTTTCGAAGTGTAACGCTCGAGTAAAGTTGGCTGGAGTCGACTTTGCATGTGGATTAAAATACCTCGAAACTAAACATCGCACCTGCATATTGTACGTGAGGGAAATGTTCGTCATTTCATCCTCTCTATAATGGGCTGTAATTCAAAATTGAGTACTTGTGAACAATCCGATCGGGACGAAAACTCCTTTTTTATCTTCCCTTACGTCACATAACCTCCCTTCTTATCTCCACTAAGCTGTTGTTATCTTTCTATCACGTGCGAGTTATTTCATTGTTTATTTTTGTTCCATTGTTTATTGCATCTTAACGCGACGCCGTGTTAGAGAGGCGAAAATGGAAAAAATAGTATCGAAAACCAAATGATAATTTATTGAAGATATGGATTATAATATTTCAGAAACTAAAAATCGTGATAATTTGTATTTCATATTATCAATCTCGCCTTCTTGATCTTTTCACTTCTACCGTGTGGTCTAAAGCACACACCTTAGTTTTTTCAAGTTAAATTTTTCATCTGGTTATTACAGCTGTGTTTTTATCATATGTAAAATAATATGTTGTTATGGCAACGTTAGTTGTTATCAACTATATCGTCGGCTTATTGCAAAAGTTCAATAATTAACATTTTATAACCCTAAATGAGTTCTCGATAAATTAAATTAGAGCTTTGAGAACTTTCTGATAGTAAAATAAAAATAAAAAAAATGTGTGTTTATTTGAATTACATTTAATATATATATATATATATATATATATATATATATATATATATATATATATATATATATATATATATATAAGGTATTTCTGCCATTTTAGTGTACTTACTATGCTGTTTATATTTATATAAATAAGGTTGAAATTTATAAAAACGTTCTTAAAAGTTCAATTTCATAAATAATTCTTTATCTCTAGACAGCTTATACTCACGCTTCAGGCAATTCACAGATATTCTTTTATATTCCTGTAAGCTTTTCAAGATCGAGTTACTCGAAAGTTCTTGATATAATCGTTCTTGAAGTCTTTCATAAATAGGTTGCAAATATTTTCTCAACGCATTTTGTTGCACGAAAGCATAAAGTTGCTGAATATCATCATGAACGAATGGTCATTGAAATAAGTAATGAAGTGGTGTAACCAGTCGCCACTACATCTGAATAAGGTGCATCTTATTTCAATTTTCACCTTGCATATTTTGTATGCTGATAAAATGTTCTCCTATATTTATCAACCCAATTAACACTAACATCACCAGGTAGGATACTGTATGTATTCAATATTAGAACATGGAACTTTATAAGAAGTTTATAGTAGTTTTACGTGAAAAAATCATTTGCAATGATTGGTAACAACATAGTCACATCGTCAACGATTAATGAACCCAAGGGCAAATGCAGTAGAAATCTTCCCAAGTAGGAGTACTTTTCAGTGAAGATTTTTTAGAAATAAGTTTTCGGGTAATATCGCGATTAACATGGATCATATTTTTAAAAAAAATAAAACTAAGGAGTATGTACCTGTGTTTGAAAGAATGCTACTCCATGGAATTTTTTGAGGAAATTAACATAAATAGTCAATGCAGATTATGTATCAAATGGAAATAGTTGGGATGACTTTCAGGGATTATCTCCTAAATAAAAATTAACAGATTATGTTGGGCCTGCCAAGTGGCTAGCGAACCAACTTGATACCGTTGCCACAGTAAAAATGAATAATATTAACAGTATGCAGATTATATGCTCTTTGGACTTCAGTTCATTCGAGTTTGTACCGGGAATATTAAACTTGTGGCGCAAGTTCGTGTCGGGTTTGATTTGAAATTTTGTTTTCTTTTCTAAGGGATTCAAACCGATACTTGAATGAATGAATGAAAATAATTTTATTATTCTGGGACTAGTGTCCTTTTAGAAGAAGTTATTTGGGCCGGAAGTTTTGGGTCACACTCGACTTCTGACAAAAACATTTTGGTTGAACTTCAATTTAGATCACATCACCTTTCTGTGTAAAAGACACAATTCTTCCTTATCAAGAACTAAACTCAAGAACTTTCATTTAAAAAAAAATAATGACGTAGAGATGGTTGACCGTTAATATAATATGAGAAGGAGTTGATCGGGGGGTGCGGTCAAATTAATATTAAATTAAACAAGTAGAATTATTTAATTTTTGCCGACATTTCGATCCACTTTGCAGGTCTTCAAACACTGCAGTGTCTCAACTGACTCCCGCAGTGCTACATCCCACGCCCTGATGAAGACCTGCAAAGTGGGTCGAAACGTCGGCAAAAATTAAATAATTCTACTTGTTTAATTTAGTATTAATTTGACCGCACCCCTCGATCAACTCCTTCTCATATTAAAAAAAAATATATGTGATTTCAAGTTGAAAGATGCGTACTCCTGCTGAAGGAAATGGAAGTCACTAGACAAAGAATCAATAAATAATATTCACATGAATTAATTCCTCATAAGTCAAAACATCTTAAAAAAAGTTTTTCTTGTTAATTTTTTTCATATGGTATAAATTCACTTACTTCAAATGACATGTTCTATATCCTTGACATGATGGTTTTATATTATCGACCATTTTTAAATTTCTTCCCATGTGGAGATATGAAGAAAATAATTTTACATTGACTTGTCGATGGATCTGCCGCATAGTTGTTGAGATGCATGTTGAATAAAAGTGTAAAATGTTGTTTCGTAATGTCTAACTTTATGGTATAAGTGTTAATTTTGTGAAGTTTTTTTACATTATACAGATGCACAAATACTTTTTTCAGATGTTTACATAATGTTTGATTTTAATTATTCATTAATTAATGTTTTGTTTCTTGTTAGCCTGAGACAAAATAAAACATTTGAAACGTCAATAAAAAATCAATGAAAAATCATTGATATTCTCGATGGTAATTTAATTTTAGTTGAGGGGTGGACTGACTGCAGGTACTTATTTTAATATTAGATTAAAAATAAATAGTAACATTCCACCTAGTTGGTTTATGTTGTAAAATTATAGCTTGAATATATTTTTTAAGTATTAATGAATGTTAGAAACAAAAATTAGATTATTTAATTTTTTAAGTATGCTGTTGGCTATAATGATTTCTTGGCGGTTTAACTTTATTTGTTTTTGTGATAATGGGTAGAGCTTAACAATGTTGTTTATTAGCCATTCTCAGAGCCCAAATATTCCATGAAGCTCGCATAAAATAATTTAACTAAAATCTTAATCCCATACAGAAGCAGTGTATACAAATAATCTTGCAAAATGCCTTGTGAAATCATAACATTACAGTTGGGTCAATGTGGAAATCAAGGTATCTTCGCTGTTATCTGTTGATATGTTTATATCTGATACTATTTTTAGTTTTAATTAATTCGTTTTTGTTTTTATTTGTGTTTATCTCTAATATCATATAGTCATTGCATTATATAAACATTGTTATATTTTTATTTATAACCTTACTTTTTATTGATTGTTTTCATTTTCATATCAAGAATTACTTTGTGATTTTAGTTGGGTATTTATTGAAATAAACGTTTCTTTTTTTAATGCATTAATTGTGTTTATTTGACTTATGCCCTGTAATATTTTGAGTTATGCCCTGTGAGATTATAACTTTGCAACTTGGTCAGTGTGGAAATCAAAGTAAGGATTCTGCTCCTATAGTATTTTCATTCTGTTTATTTATTAGCATCAAATATAAGTTTTAACGATTAATATATTTGTAATATTTGATATTGTGTTTTGAGTTTACTATTCCTTTCCTTCAATTTATTTGTCGACAGTTGGTTTTGAGTTCTGGAAAAAACTTTGTTCTGAGCATGGTATTAGTTCTGATGGAAGGTTAGAACATTATGCTACTGAAGGAACTGATCGTAAAGATGTTTTCTTTTACCAAGTGAGTATTTTTTTAATAACAGTTTTACCCATAGTATAATTGTTCAACAAAAATTGTGGAACCAAGATTTAGTTGAATATTTTTTATTAAATACAGTGGAATAGTCTACTATAGTAGTGTCATGCCCCGATCACATTGATCACACTGTATATGGAATGGTGAAACTAGCCGAAGGACTCTGAAAGTGTACGGAGACCATCAATCTCCATACCTTTCTATTAATAAGTTTAAATAACTCCGTGAATCTAAATTATCCATAACATCTATGTTGTATTTAAGCTGAATATTGAATTATAAACAATTTTTATATTTCTGACCATCAATAATAATAGTCCCTTGTACTTTTTTGGATTGGAAACCAAAATAATTATTAAGTTATAATTCAATGAAAATAAAGTTAAAACCTAAAGAATAACTGTGTGTTTACTTTAATGCTCCAATACTAAAAAGTGAATGAGTTTGTTAGTTATTTTAATTGATTTAAGTGAATGTTTACAAATATGTTTTAAATTTTTATAATAATTAATGAAATCCTAAGTTATCTGTTCACTAATCTAAATCATTTTCATTTTACAAACATGTTTAAGAATATATTATTGCTGTGGATATTTTAAATTATATTTTACTATGTGGTATCTGGGTTTAGCTTACTGCTAAAAAATGTATAACCAGTCCTAATTTTTCTTATGTTTAGTTAATTGAATAATCAAAATTGTGTATTAAATTGTATTTATATTTAGGCCAATTTATTTAATCTGATTCGTTTATTTTGTGTTAGAAATGTAAGCTTAATTAATCTGTCAAAAGACAGACCCACACGGCTTGCTTTGGCATTGTACGGACAGTGTGATCTTAGCCCACATGTCATCCGGAAATGTCACTGCTATAGTGCTCCCAATCATTCTCATCTTGCATGGTCTGTTAATTTCTACTTTATTTAGAAGCCTATTGTTATATCTCGGCTAATTAATTAAGTCATTTAAACTGTGATTTCATTTTAGGCTGATGATGAGCATTATATCCCTAGAGCTGTACTACTTGATTTAGAACCAAGGGTTATCCAATCAATTAAAAATTCCCAGTATGCAAAGGTATCCTTATTAATTATTTCTATTAATTAAATATGTATAATTTTTAAAGACATCTTTTTTAATACTAATCAATGTATGTTGTTTTACAACATTAATTATATATCAAGTCTAAATGTATACAAACATAATACATTTAAAAACAGTTTTTCTAGGAACGGTATTTTATTGAAATGTTATTGTTATTTAATAATGTAAATATGTTCTTAAATTATTCTAGTAGTTTGACTATTTATTAATACTATAAGTAATAATTTATAGTACAAATTATTATTTTATAATTGAAATCCTCTCTACCTACCGTAACACTGTCCACATCACCACGTATGCTGATGACACATGTATCCTATGAGTTAATTAATGAGGATCCATCAGTTGCATCCGAAACACATTGCAGACCTTGAAGAATGGTGTCAAAGCTGAAAGATTAAAATAAATTCCATCAAATCATCTTTACTCTTCTTCCTAAATCTATGACTTTTTGTCCTATGGTATACTTTAATGATACCTCATTTTTCCCTATTGAACTAATCTGATACCTAGAACTCCACATGGACAAACGCCTTACTTGTAATCCTCATACCTGACCGAAACATCAAGAAACTGCTTGGCCTTTTCAGCTACTTCAGCATTTACCTGACCAACTCTAAGCTAAACTAATAAAAGATTCTTACACTTGACTACAAAACGGCCTGTTTGCATTTATGGAATTCAACTATGGGGCTCCACTAAACCATCAAATTTATCTTTTATCCAATCCAAAAATTTTTGTGAAATCCTCAATGCTCCCTATTTTGTCACTAATAAAATCATCCATAATAACCTTAATGTTTCCGATTTGGGCCAATCTAGATACCTATATATTCAATTTCAGAATCATCCGAACTCTCTTGTTTCTAACCTCTGTGATTCCTGATAATCCTCTTAGGCATGTGAAAAGAATATGGTATAAAGAAGATTACTATTAGAGTGCTTCCAGTGGATAGTTTCTCAACAAGTCTTTTCATGTCAATAAAAATAAAATTAATAAAAAAGTGTATTTTGTAAATAAAACTTAGTTTATTTAAAAATTAACTCCAAGTAAGATTATTGTCTTCTTAACCATCCTTGTATCCATTTTATCTTGGGCTTTCTCATTTTCCATTTTAGAATTCAATACAAATTATTGTGTAAGTCTTTAAAATTCATCATTACATATAAAATCATCAAGGATAATATTATGTGGAAGCAAGTGTTCAATAAGACATATCTTTCTTAAATTTATCATGATAGAGATAATTGTCAAATTTTGATCTAACAGTAGAAGTTGATAGTTATCAAAGATGAAATAGAATTATACACAAATAAGAACTAATTTAGAAAAATAATGTAGTTCGATTTTCAAATATGTGTCACATTATTAAATATTTGGTTATCTATTATGGGTAGTGTGTGTATTTTGAAATTCACAATAGAAATTTTCACCAGATGACATCTTTAATATATTTATTTTTTGATATTATGACATATTTTCTATATTCTACCCTGCTTTTGATCTAATTTAAAATGTTATATTTTTCTAGTGTTCTTGTTTAATTTTATTTTTGATGACCTAATGAACTCTCATAGCGCGGGACTTCTTTCAAAACCTCTGAACTTTATTATTTTTCCAAAGTAAAGTTTTGAGTGAATCTTGAAGTTTGATAATACTTCCAACAGATAATAAATGGATTAAACTTCGGGTTTATTTCAAACTTTACATAAGAAACAAATCTTTTTCTTGTTCTGGAGTTACAACCAAACCTATCTTAATGAGAAGGTCAAGAATTATTCCCTGGCTCTGCCAAAAAATAAATTTTAACCCATACAGGCTGGATTCGAATTAGCGCCACTATTACTCCAGAATGATTAGGCTGGCAACGCTTTAATATGCTCGACCCCCATTGCCTACGCTATGTTTCTGAACTATATCAATGCCAATATAGTGTTAACTTAACTCTCCTAGACTGTAAACTTGGCAAGGCTTTTATAACCTATAGAAGTTTCTAGACCCTGCTAGACAATTTCTATACATCTCACTGCTCTGAAATATAATTAAATATTAATATTTTAATTTTTCTTCTTTTTTTCCGGCTCTACAGTCCAAGGTGAACTTTAGCCTCTCCAACAATGTTTCGCCATCCTTCTCTGCCCATGGCCCGTCTGTTCCAGTTGGTCACTCCAATTTTATTAAGGTCCTCTTCTACGTCTTTAATCAAGCATTTACGTGAATGTGCCCTCTTTCTTTTTCCTTGGAACATTTCATGCAGAACTTTTGTGGGCATTCTTTCATCTGGCATTTGCTCGGTATGTCCCAGCCAACTAATTCTTCTAACTTTAATGAAACTCAGAATATATTCATGCTGTGTCAGATCCAATTCTTGGTTACACCTAATGCGTCATGTGCATTGTTCATTTATTGGACCCAAAATACGTCCTATAATTTAATTATTAATTAACGTATAAAAACATCGGCTAGTAATACGTTAGCTGACATTTCGACCCAATCATTGTTTGGAAGAACTGACAAGTTCTTGTCTTGATTTCTAAATAACCCTGATGATGTGTGGATCAAGACGCCGGCTAACCTATGAAAGAAATTTTGACTGAAATTCCTGACAATTTTTTTTCATCCTAATAATTCATCAGTCAACTATTTACCCAATATAATTATGAAACATAATTAAATTATGAGATATAATTAATAAAAATGATGGTATTCATAAATGCCACACAAATACAATTTGTACAAATAATATACTCATAATATATTTTTTTTAGCTCTACAATCCTGAAAATATTTATCTATCAAAAGATGGTGGAGGTGCTGGAAATAATTGGGCATCTGGGTATTCACAAGGGGAGAAATTGCAAGAAGAAATATTTGACATAATAGAAAGAGAAGCTGAAAACAGTGATAATCTTGAAGTAAGAGAAAAAAAAAACTAAGAACAAATGAATGAAATTTTATATTTATTTAATATCTTGACTCTGACATGTAAATTATTTATGCAAGTATATATTTTCTTTAGGGATTTGTAATGTGCCATTCAATAGCTGGAGGGACTGGATCTGGAATGGGTTCTTATCTTTTAGAGACAATTCACGATAAGTTTCCTAAAAAGTTGATCCAGACGTACAGTGTTTTTCCCAACCAAGATGAAATAAGGTAATTTCTTATTTAATATTTTATCATGCTATTATTGTTCATACAACCACCTTTATTATGAAATCATCTCAGTGGTATCGTAATATTCCATCATCTTTATTTTATTTATCATGTCTTTATTTATTTTATTATTTATCGTTTTTATTGTATAGAATTTCAGCTTGATTGGATTATTAGAAGTGAGCTTAATATCATTGTTAGCAGTAAAACTAATTTTTTTTTAAGTGAAAACTTCTTTAGGCGTGTTTTGTACTTTTTTGTAGAGGGTGAATTAGATCGATCCATGAAATTTCCGATGCGTAACGCTCGGGTAAAGTTGGCTGGAGTCGACTAATGGAAGTGTTTTTTACATATGGATTAAAATATCTCAAAAACTAAAAATCTGACTTGCATATTGTTAGCGAAAAAAATCATTTCATCCTCCTTATAATGAGCTATTCTTCAAAATTGTATCTTAACCATTTTAGAGAGGCGAAAAGGGAAAAAGTAGTGTCAAAAACCAAATAATAATGATGAATTCTTGAAGGAAGTTAGTCGACTGTTCTACATATCATGGGTGATAAATATTCAGGACGCAGTCACATGTTTGGGTTGAAACGTTGGCAAAAATAAAAAAATTAAAAATACTGCATCCTGAATATTTATCACCCATCAAGTGATAATGAGTTTTATTGAAGATATGCATTGAAATATCTCAAAAACTAAAAATCGGACGTGCATACTGTAAACAAGGAAAATGGTCAGCATTTCATCCTCTTTATATAGAGCTATAATTTATATTTCATATTATTAATCTTGCCTTGATGATATTTCCACTTCTGTCGTATAATTTGAAGCACACACCTTATTATGTTTTTATTTGTTATTACCTCTACCCTAGAGGGTCATTGCAGTATGTTTTTACACTCGGTTGTAATATTGGGTTTTTATGAAGTATTGGAATAGAATGGTGACTCCATCTTCACTGTCCCTCAATATTTCTTTCATTCTCACTGGTCATTTTAATTGTCATATTTTTCTGTATCGATGCCATTCTACTAATAGGTGTTTCACTGATTGTATTCTGTTGCCGCACTTGGCACATTGGTGCTTCTAGACCTATAAGAAGATACCTTTGTGTAAATAGGCAGTGACCAATCCATATTCGGCACAGTGTGATTTCTTCTTTTTGGGATTTTCTCGCTCTTGTAGCCCACTTGTTGTACTCTGTTTTTGAATGAATGAAAATAATTTTATTATTTTTATTTCTAATAGTTCAGAATGTTTGACTTTCCAATTTTTTTTTTCAGTCTTTCGACAAATTTTTTGTCGGGTGTATCCTATCGTATACTGTTATGTAATTTATTGCAGTTATGATTGATATCTCTCAGTTCCTAATAGCTGCTTGGTAGCTCTTTCATTACCTAAGATATCAGTGTGGGATGGAACTCATACAAGGACTACATAGATCATTGTTTTTTTCAATCCCCACCATAGATTCAATACATCCCTCATTAGGGAATTGCTTGGCCCTGTGTTACCAATTGTTGCGAATACTCTTTTGGAGTCTTACTATCATACATTTATTCTCATTGGGATTCGATATCCAAAGGAGGGCTTTCATAATCGTAGCTGCTTCTCCAGTGAATATGGATCTCTCTTTTGGTAAGCTAAAAAGGATCTGGAGTTGGTTTTCATTAACATAGACAGTGCAGCAAACACTATTTTATATTTTGGAGGCATTGGTGTATATGATTTTAAAATCTTTGTACCTTTCTAGCAATTGAAAAAAAATAGTTTTGGATTTGTATTGGACTTTTTTGGGAATATTTAGTCATCGATATATCTATTGCTGGTCTGCTTTTCTTTCAGTAAGAGGTTTTGAGATTAGGAATGGATCTAATTGTATTCAATTAACTAAACTAAATTAAAGCTTATAATAAATCAATATCTACTCACATCCTTCAGGTTTGGTGCCATTTTCTCATAATTTTTTTTTAATATATATTTTAGGCCAAAGGTCACCAAATATACACAGTTTTTTTATCTGCTGTATTCTTTATTCAACGTTTCGGCTTCAGGAGCCATTTTCAAGATCCATGCACCGCGCCATAAAATTTTTAAATTCTATCATTGCGATATGATTCGTCCTTAAGTCATTCTTTTATTTCATAGAATGTCGTTTTTTCATTTCTCTTTTGCTTTGTAGGCTTGTATGAATGCCCTAGTGAGGAGCAACAATTTTCTTGATATCTGCAAAAGAGAAATGAAAAAACGACATTCTTTGAAATAAAAGAATGACTAAAGGACGAATCATATCGCAATGATAGATTTTAAAAATTTTATGGTACGGTGCATGGATCTTGAAAATGGCTCCTGAAGCTGAAACGTTGAATAAAGAATACAGGAGATAAAAAAAATGTGTATATTTGGTGACCTTTGGCCTAAAATATATATAAATAAATTAAATCAATATCTGTTGCAGTGATGTAGTAGTACAGCCTTATAATTCAGTTTTGACTCTGAAGAGGTTAACTGAATCTGCCGACTGTGTGGTAGTCCTGGATAATACGGCACTCAACAGGATAGCAACAGACAGGCTTCACATTCAACAGCCGACCTTCTCCCAGATCAATGGTCTCGTGTCAACGATCATGTCTGTAAGCACCGCAACACTAAGGTAAATTTATCTTGGCTTGATTTTTGTAGTCCAGAAATATTTTAGGAATTATTTGTCTCTGTTTTGTGCTTTTTTTAGATACCCTTCGTATATGAACAGTGATTTAATTGGTCTAATCGGTCCTCTTATTCCGACACCTCGACTCCATTTCCTCATGACAGGATACACACCTTTAACAGGCGAAAAAGAGGTATGTAAGTATTTTTATTTATCATCAAATTGTGCTTAATTTATTTTTTAAAATCCGTGTAACTTAATTATTGACATTTACTCTGCAGTTTCTGAATGTTTATTCAAATCTTGTTGACATCGTTTCGATCTTCAGGACGATTTATTTATGTGAATTACCACAGATTATAGAAGTTATAGTTTGGTGTTAAACAGCAATGCTCAATTTGGGTGATTTGTCTCACATTGGCAATAATATTTAATGTCCAAATTGTCAATTTGGTTTATAGGCATTCTAAAAATGAACGATTTTCTATTTATTAATAACAGAATTTAAATTAAAATCATTCAAATTTAAGACAATATCTGGACATTATTGTATTCGATTTATGTATGTTATAAAAAAAATCTGGTGAGGGCAACACACAACTTTCACTTACCGCTCAACATTGAATAGAAATTATTTTTGGCCATATCGGGCTATTATACAATTTTTGAATTGCATTTTTAAGTGAGCTGAAGCTAAAAAAATACATTAACAAATCATAAATACCATTAAAATAACCAAAGTCCTACTTATTATATTACTGGTTGATTACGGATTGTACAATCCGTTGATCATGTATTGCACGATCAATTGATTATGGATTGTAATAAAATTATTAAACTACAGTAAATATATTTAAGGTTATAAACATATGCTTTATACATCCATGAAATGGTTTTATATTTTACTTCTTCTTTCACACAAGTACAATGAAATAGTTATTAAACAATGTCATTGCCTTTCTTAGGTGGATTTTAAATATTTCTTTCAAACTTAAAAATATTTTAAAAGGTTGCATTTAGTTAGTAAATTTCATTTAATTTACTTGAAAACATGTGATTTACTTCAAATATTATTAGTTTTCAAAAAATATTTATAATTTTTTTGCCAATCTCCGTTTCCTTTTACAACTTTATGTATTCGATATTGTATTTTCTAAAATTCTCCGCTTTCCAACGATATATTATACGTATATCTTCCGACTAGTATTTTCAGAGATTCATTTTCGACCTGGATAAGCGTTTTTCTTTTTTTCTCCTTTATTCAAATATCAAATTCTTTCAAAAGTTATATTTAGCATTTTTTCATAACTTTTAATAATGAGAGATAATTGATTATTTAAAATAAACCATATTAAAGGTACTTTAGAGGAAGACAGATAATTGATTATTTAAAATAAACCATATTAAAGGTATTTTAGAGGAAGATGCATATGAACATTGGGCATTTAAGCCCTGTAAAGTGACATCAACGGGGATAAGGCCTAAATGATATTAAAGATCACTTAATTATACAATGATACACCGAGTTTAATCAAAATCGTTAGAGCCGTTTTTGAGAAAATTGTAAAAATGTGTTTCAGCGTTCATATAAAGTGGCATCTTAATGATATCTATAGTCTGTCTGTATGAACTCAGCTGACAGAGAACTTGGAATATGGGTGTCTTATAAAGCCAGTATGTAAAATAATGTAAAAAAATCTGGTGTTTCCACTCACTCCACTTTCCTACCTATTATAGAAAAGTTTTTGTATTTTTAAATATATCCATTAAGAAAAAAAAAAAAGATTTATTTTCCTGAAAATTGATCAAAGAAAAGATTTAAGTATGATTTCTTTGATAAACTAAAGCAATGTAAACTGGCTTGTGTAAGATCAGGATAAAAAATTCAATACACTCTAATATTTTTAATCAAAAACTTTTTTACCTTAGCCCAATTTTTACAAACAATTCTGTTTCTGTTAAAAGTCGAGAGAAAACTTGTGTGATACAGGCAACAGATTTTCTTACTTTCACTTACTTTTCTTTATTTTCTCTCATTCACCGCTTAGACCTGTATTCTTACATACGAAATTGAATAGCTGTAACTTTGTTAATAGTTGTCCAAAATGAATGATTTTTATATAATTTTGTTGGGAATCTCATTACCTTTAAAAAAAAAAACAGGCTAAACATTAATTGTCGGACTCAGGGAGCTCTGAAACGTATAGATCCGTCGAAAACCGCATTTCAGAAAATTTATCCGATCGCAATACTTTCCTTATCTAGTATAGATAGGAAAGTAATACATTAAAACATGTGTAGAAAATAAAATACGCTGTATCATTGCTAATACTGGTTCAATTCCGATGATTTTTTTTTGTTTTGTAGTTAATTTAATTACCTTTCAAAAGTTTCCATATAAATTTTACTGTAGAATACATACTTAGTGAGTTAGGCCTGAAAAAACTTTTCTTTTTATCTTTTTTTCCTGTATTTTCTCAAGAATTTAATACATGTACAAAACTTAAAAGGACATTAATTAGAAAATTATAGGAAAGTAAAAACAACTTTATTTCGAGATTTGTTTATAAATATTTGTAATTAGTGAGCTATAACAACTGAAATTTTTATTTATATTTTACTCTCATTATTCATTTTATTATTATTTTTTTTTTTAGGAGACATCTGTTATGAAAACATCTGTAATGGATGTAATGAGACGACTTCTACAACCTAAAAACATGATGGTCTCGACTGAACTTGACAGGCTTGGTTCTCATTGTTATATTTCTATTCTTAATATAATTCAGGTAAATAATATTAGTTATGAAAGTTTCTTTGGTAAAAGTTAAAGTTTTTTTTAACTTTGTTAAAACATGAGTATTTTAACATGAAAAAAAAGAAAAGAAAATTATTACAGTATATCTGCCATAGATTTGAGAGTTCATCGTACAAGCCCTCTATTGTGAAAAAAAAACAAGTTTTCAAAAAAACAAGAATAACCTGAGGTATACAGCCCTTTTTACCAATTCATTATCATTTTTCTAATACCTAGTGAATGGCTTCATCTAATCATAACCTACAACTTTCTTACCTATGAAAATTCTCAGAAATGGGGTATTTTCTTGTTAAATTAATTAATTTGTAATAATAAAAAACTGAAGAATAGCCATTTCTTTCCACTTGAATTGTAAGATAATTTGATCACAAACTTGAAAAAAAATTGTGCCGTTTTGGTCTATATAAACTCGTTATCTTGACATGTTGGGGGCTGAGATCAAGCCAAATGGCCCAATATTTTTGTAGGCCACCTTTTTTATAGAGTTTGTGATCTAATTATCTTAAGATTCAAGTAGAAATCAAATGTGTGTTCTTGATTTACTGATCAAACAATGTTTACTGATCTCCAGATTGAAAATAACTCGATCTGATAATTTTCATAAATAAAAATGTAGGTTACAATAATATGAAGTTATCTACGAAGTTTTAGATAGATGTTAATGATTTGATAAAAATGAATCTGTATCCCAAATTAGAAAGCTCCTTGTTCTTTTTACATCAGAGGGCTCTTACGATTAACTCTCGAATTAAATAATCTGAAGTGAGTAACCCCTGAAAACCATTACTGATTAACAACGTTGTCCTTTTGCTCTAGTTAAGGAAGCAAGAACTCACTAATTTTTATCTAGGTTAACTATTCACTTTAGTCTTTTTCTGAAATGTTTTCTTATATATCTTTTCCATTTCAGATACCTATATTTATTATCTTATTTTTTAATATTATGTTTTGTTATTATTAGGGAGAAGTCGAAGTTACCCAGGTCCATAAGTCTCTTCACCGTATTCGTGAGAGGAAGATGATACAATTTATCCCGTGGGGACCTAGCAGCGTTCAGGTGGCTGTGTCAAGGAAGTCTCCTTATGTACATACTGCCCACAGGGTTTCCGGCCTCATGCTTGCCAATCACACTAACATTGTCTCTGTAAGTTATCTATATTTTTATTTTGCAGTATAAATTATGAGACATAGTGGACTCTTGCTAATCCAAAGTAATTATAACCAAGGAGGTTTGGATTATTGAATGAGAAAAAAAAAATCTTAAATAAACAATCAATTTAAATACAAAAATTACAAATATATTAGAGATGCTTAAGTAGTCGGCTGATCAATTTTATGGATGAAACAAAATTTTCTGGACTTTCAGTTAAGATATTTTTATTGGGTTAGCTGAGGGTTAGCACAATTATTTTCTTGTGAAGAAAAACCTAAGGTGGTTGAGAGCATTAAAAAGCTAATAAAACATTTCTTGGAAAACAATCTTTTTGTTTGTGCATAATGTATTTTCTCAAAACTCATAGTTAATTGTTTGTTAATAGCTTAAGCTATCATTGAATTAAAAATACAATTTTACACTGAAGATTAATTTAATGAAATTGGTTAATTATATTCGCCAATAAAGAAATTGATAAAATAAATAAGCTTCAAAATTTTAATATCTGCCAAGCTTGGATTTTATTTTAAATAAAAGGATTTGGTTTTTTTAACTAGATTATTTAAGCCTCAGCGTGCAAGGTGTTGATAATATGGTTTTATTGAATTATGTATGTATGTGATAGTTATATAAATTTAAATCTTCAATTTTTTTTAATGTTGTTTTTTGGACTATGAAGTGGTTTGGATTAGCGAGAGCCTTGATATATCCATGTGTTTTCTAAATTTCAGTATTTTTTATATTTCTGTTTTAGTTGTTCAATCAAGTATTGTCACAATACGATAAGCTACGAAAGCGTGAGGCATTCTTGGAACAATTCAGAAAACAGGCCATGTTTCAGAATAACTTAGAAGAGTTAGATATATCCAGAGATGTTATTCAAAATTTGGTCGATGAATATTACGCTGCTACAAAACCTGATTACCTCACATGGAAACCTGCTAACCTCACTAATAAAGCTAATAAGGTAGTTTACTTTGTTCATTTATTCATTTTTTAAATTTTAGGAGAGTTTATTTTTTTGTTTCTGAGAAAAATGTCATATGATTCTCACATGCAGTAGTAGAGGAAGAAAAAAAAAGGGTTTATAATAGAAAGGGGAGTTTCATGATAGAAAATCCAAATATTGGTTCCTCAAGCAAGATGGATTCAAAGGTTTTAAATATGATTGATGTAATTTATATTTTTAAATATGATAGGGAAATTAGATAGCTGTGTAATTGTACAAATTCTAGAAATGTAAAACCTCAAATTTTGAGTGGAAGCTAAATTGTTTTATTTTTTTCTTGGTTGAGCCAAAGGAAGGCTACTTTAAATAGTCCGTGGTACAGACCCCTTTTTATTGAATTATTAACATCCTCCTGAAACTTTGTAAATAGTTTCATCTCATCGTAACCTATAACTATTTTATTTACGAAAACTCTGGGAATTGGGGTGTTTTCAATCCGGAGGGGGCCAAACTTTATCTATTTAATTAAGTACTAAAAACTCGTAAATACCCATTTGCTTTCTACTTGGATCGTAAGATAATTTGATCACAAAATCGAGAAAAAAGGTGGCCTTCAAAAATATTGATCCGTTTGGCATGATCTATACCCTCTAATTTTCAAAATAACGAGGTTCTATAGGACAAATGCCCCAATATTTTTTTAGATCGTCTTTTTTATTGATTTTGTGATCAAATTATCCTATGATCGAAGTAGAAAGCAAATGGGTAATTGCGAGTTTTTATAACCTAATTAAATAGACAAAGTTTGCCTCTCTCCAGATTGAAAACTCCCCAATTCCAAGAATTTTCGTAAATAAAGTAATTGTAGGTTATGATGAGATGAAACTATTAATGAGGATTCAGACGGATGTTAATAATTTGATAAAAAGGGGTATGGTACCGTGGACTAATAATTTAAAAGAAAAATTATTCATGTACTAACAACTTGTTAACTACTTCTATCAATTACACCATTTTCATAATTAAAGATAAGAAGGAGAGAGAGAATTGATAAGATTGCTATGGTAACTAAAACATAACAATACTTCTTTATTATTATTAATACTTTTTACTGCTTTTATTAGTTACTAGTATACACTCATGAGAACTCTCATATTAGTTAGCTATGCCTCTCCCTAATGCATTCGAGGTATAAGTGATACAACAAATTTTAAGAAAATAGAGGGAAAGACCAACAGACACCGGATAGGTAACACAATGATACGCCCTACACTAAAAATCGAACCTCTCAACCAGATAATAGAGAAAGGGCAACTTCGATGGTTCGCTCATGTAAAGAGGATGGATGAAATCCTTGTTCAAAAATCTCTACACCAAAAGGTAGAAGAGAATATTGAATAAGAAGATGGCCAGTTTTAGAATTGGTAAATCATCTATAGATCACATTTTCTCGATAAGGCAAATGTTAAAAAAAACACATGAATACCAAATGGACTTACATCACGTTTTCATCGATTTTAAACAGGCATATGATAGTATAAGCAGAGGAGAATTACTCAAGGTAATGACAAAATTGGGGATAACTGAAAAACTGGTCACTTTGACAAGAATGACCCTAAGTGGTGGTAATAGATCAGTTGTGAAGATTAATGGCCAATTTTCAGAGGATTTCGAGGTGAAATATGGGCTTAGGCAAGGAGATCCTTCATTCCCTACTCTATTTAATATTGATTTAGAGTATGCAATAAGGGCGATCTGGACATATCATGGTGGCACAATTTATAACAGAATGACACAGCATCTGGCTTATGCTGATTATGTTGTAATATCGAAAAATAATAAAACATGATTAGCAGGGGCATTAGAAGAATTCAAAACCGCAACTAAAGAACTAGGGCTTCAAATAAATAAACAGAATACTGTTTACATGCAAACATAAAACAATCCAAGGAAAACAGTTGAACACATCACAATTGGTAACCACACCCAAACGTGGTCACACATTTTAAATATTTGGGAGCACTAATTACAGGAAACAATGAAATGGTGGAAGAATTAAAAGCAAGGATGGTTGCTGGGAATAGATGTTGTTTTGCAATTTGAAAAACATTAAATTACAGATCTCTTTCTTACAGAACAAAGATCGCTGTGTATGAAAAAGTCATCAGACCCATCATCATCTATGGCTCTAAGACTTGAATGATCTCCAAAACATCCGTAAAAAGTCTACTCGCGTAGGAGAGAATGGTTGTCCGCACGATCTATGGCCCGGTTTGTGAACAGGGACAATGGAGAATTCGCACTAATAAAGAGCTGTATGAAATGTATGCGAGGCCGGATTTGGTCTCAATTGTGAGGGGAAACCAGGTCAGATGGTTGGACCATGTGGCGCGTAAGCCCTGATACGTGATTACCGAATGCTTGCTAGAGGATCCGCCTGCTGGAAAATGTGGAAGAGGAAGACCACACCTGAGATGGCTGGACCAGTTAGAGGACAGCCTGAAAAGGATGGGAATTCGAAGATGGAGAATGTTCGCTCGGAATAAAGGAGAGTGGCGAAGGATCATAAGAGAGGCCCAGATTCTTACAGAACCGCAACGTCAAGAATAAATAATTAAAACTTTAGGATCGAAATGGGAAAATCATTGTGAAAAATGTGGGAAAAGTTTTTTCTTTTTTTATGTTGTATATATTGGTTGAGATATGTAAAAAAAAAAAATTGAGAATGCCCCCAAGGGAAAAATGTTGACAGCCAGATTTAAAATTTTTTTTTTTGTTTTATCGCCTATAACTCCTAAATGGTGCATTGAAGCGAATTTGGGCTCTCAAGGACCTGATAGTGCCTATGGAGTCTTGTCGAAATCTTTGAAACACAATTTATTCTGTTTCAGTTAGTTGAAACCACTTGAGTTTGAAGTATCTAAATTTTTTCAATGACTTTTATTAAAGTACTTAAAGGAATTTTTTATGGATTGAAATTGGGTTTCATCACTTCTTCCTGAAAATTGATACCTTATTCATCAAAATCCATCGCTCCCGAGAGCAGGGAAAGGAATCTATTACTGTATTATGTATTGTGTAAATTTAATTCACTCTTTTACAACTTAACACATTCATTATTTACATTATCAAAACATGAATTGTTGTTTTTTTTTATGTTCTTTGTTTCAAGCCTCTCTTTGACGATTTGGATGACCAGTGTAATTATCATTTATAATTATTCTATTTTACCTTGAAAGGAATTTGTAAATAGTTTTTTTTTTTTCTTTTTGCAGCCTTCTTCTGATGACAGCCTTGGTATGTGAGAAGTTAATGGGGGAGTGATTGTTAGTTTTTTAATTTAAAAAAAAAAAAGTAGCGTCCCACCTTTTGTGATTGTTAAAAACCAGTAAGTTACTGACAAAATTACTAAGGTTACAGTCCTCGAATCTCATGCGATAGTTACGATTTATTTATATAGTGTATTAATATTGTAGCAATACTTATTTATATATTATATTAAAGCTGCCATCTTTGTTATACTTTGTTTAATACATTTGATTTTAAAAAAGCGAAAAAACAGTAAATTTCTTTCTTTCATAAATTATCAGACTTACATTTTTAATTTTTTTTATTTTAAGGCATCAAAAGGTAAGTAATTCATTCAAATACTCTTTTATATTTAAAAAAAATTATATCTTTCAATAAGTACTTGTTTATATAATATCATTATATTTATATAATGATATTCATATCATATGAATAATATGATCATGATATTTATATAATATCATACTTGTTTATTGTAACAAATCATTTGGTGTACTTTTGATGAAGCCAACATTCAAGAAAATAATGTGAAATTCTATTATATTTTTCATTGTGAAAATTCTTTTTTTGCAAACAAATAATACAGACCTTATTATATGTTAACAATAAGTATGCAATATTTTTATTACTAAGGCACAGTCAGTGTGTCAGCGATTTAAACCATATTTCTCTTGGTGATTTTACCAAATGGGCCTTAGGACCTACGAAAAATATGTTTTATATAATAATAATAATAAGGCTTAGCGAACCCGAAGGTTCGATGCCGACACCACCAATCGCTTGTTACACACCTCCCTCCACCGTTCGCCGTCCAAACCCAGTCCCTTCAGATCGGCTTTAATGCAATCTTCCCATCTTCGCTTCGGTCTACCCCTCGGACGCTTACCATTCGGCACAGCAAATATTAACCTTTTAGGAATTCTCTCGTTACTAAGCCCAACAACTTTACAAGCCCATTTGATTCGCCGCGATGAAATTACCTCAATTATATTACCCGGATACAGCTCACGCAATTCGGTGTTGTGTAACCGTCTGAACTCTCCGGTTAACTCATCCTTCTTCGGTCCGAATATTCTACGAAATACTTTATTTTCAAAAACCTTAAGACGCTGCTCATCCCTTAATGTAAGCGGCCAAGTTTAGCATCCGTAAAGAACTGTAGGCAAGATAATTGTATTATAGATTCTAATTTTTAAGTTTCGGGACAAGAGGCGCGAACTAAGTAGTTTTGTCACAGAAAAATAACAAGCATTCCCCGCCTTCAGTCTAACCTTAATCTCTTCTTCAATTTCGTTTTTTCTAGTTATCGTAGAACCTAGATACCTAAATTTATCTACCTGTTCAAACATATTACCATCTATATCGATATCACCAGTAGTATTGCCATTTTTGCAGCTAACCATATATTTTGTTTTATCCACGTTTATTTCGAGTCCTAGTTCTTTACCGGCTTTCATTAACGTTGTCGTATTTAGTTTTATAATTATGTTATATTTAGTTTTATAATTATGTTATTATTATGTTTAATGTTTTATATATTAAAATATATATATATTGTTATTTTTGCCAATTTCAAGGGTGTATCAATCAATTTCTTTTTTTTTTGTGCAGAACAAGAGAAAAATATTGCTGGTAGTATTAAATGATATAAAATATGATTAAATTAAAAAAAACAAAGGTGCTTCCTCTAAATTAGACCAAGTAAATTTTTGTTATGAAAAAAAAAATGCTAAATTCGTTTTTGGTGTCCTTTAAAACTCTGAAATATGAATTTGTATGGCAAAAAAGATACAAACTTTAGTACTTGATTTTCTTGGAGGATTTTGTTTCCAGACATCAACTAACTCCTATAACTCCTCAGGATTTTCACTAAATTCAACGTTATTACAACCATTTAAGAACTGAATTACTGTTCCTCCTACCCACATAGATAATTTTTAGATCTTATCTGTTTGTAAGGTAGAAATAAATAAAAACTTCTCAAACATTTGTATACTATATCAATGACCGACTGGCTGTGATATTTCCTTTTCAGTGATTTAATTTTATAAAATATTGCTTTTCGCAATAAACTGGTGAAATGTATTTTTCCGATGGAAAATTTCTGTAAATTCAACTATTCATAAAATTAACGATAAATTGATCAATGAAAGATTTATTATACATGTGTTGATGGTGAGGGAAAATGAAATAAGAGATTCATTCGACACATATTTATTTCCTTAACAATCGTGTCAGGTTATACAATCATTTGTTTATTAATTATTATATTTTTAAAAAAATTAAAATCTAAAAACAACGCACATTCTGCATATACAGAAAAGTGTTTACTCCATCTGCTGCATTTATTTCGAATTCGTTTGCAGATGTTAAAACAAACATTTAAAATAAATCACAAAATAGAATTCATGTATTATCGATAACATTTATATTTTTTTGTCTTATAAATGTGAATTCAACATCAAAGTTATAAATATTCACAATTTAACACATATATTCTTTGGCAAAATAATTTTGTACCTAAATATAAATCTTCGACATCCTCGTAAAGAGTCGTATTTTACAAGTCCTGATAAAGACAAGCCTTTCAATCTTTACTAATTTGATAGGTGACCTTTTAGCTCTGAAATATATATGACTAGGTAAAATGAGTTCTATGTACATATAAAATTAATCACAATAAGTCAATATTTTTTATATAATTATATAAAGCCCATCTCTTACCAGAAACTCAAATCAGTCTCAATACCCCTTTTATATTTAAAAACAAAAAATTAAAATAAATAGTTAAAAACAAGAAAGATGCATATTACATGCTTTTTATACATTATTATATTTAAACTCATTATGGATTTGAATATTTCTTATTGCTTAAGGGGTAGTATTTAAAAGTTTTTTTAATATAACTAGGGAGTATTTATCGTGGGTTAAAAATGAACTTGAGGGTGTCGAAAGGAAGAGCAAGGTCACCGCGAGGAACTTTGCCATTTGTGGGATGAGGCGCAATTGAATATTTTTGCATCATTGTTGCTAAAACTGAGAATGAAACATATTGGGTCATCTTATAGCCCATGCAGGATCGCCTCCCACCTCCGAACGGCAGGAAGTGTTCTGGTTTTATTAATCTTCCGTCTTCTGTCAGGAATCTTTCTGGAGAAAACTTTTCAGGTTCAGTCCATAGTTCAGGACTCATGTTGAGTGTGTAATTGTTGAGGAAGATCAGTGTCCCTTTTTCTACGTGATAATCTGCAAAAAAAAAAAAAAAAAAAAACAGTGATAAAATTTTAATATAATAATGAAATAAGTAAATCTATTATCATATAAGAAGAAATTTATTTGCCATAGATTAAAATAACTGTCTAGTGAACATGTTTCAAGTGGCTGTATCTTTGCTAGTGATTGTCCAACTTCTACGTAATCAGAAAAGGACACATTTATAGAAATATAACTGTTGCTAATTGGAAGGCTAATCAAATTGTATACAGAGCTAATCTTAAAATTTATTAATAAGAAATGATAAATATAACCTCCTTTCTTATTGATAACCTAATCTATGACAAGGGATATGTAGCCCATAAGAAAAGTAAAATTAAGGTGAGTTGGTGTGGCTGAAAACTAGATTTTTGGAGTCAAAAGAAACCTTACCACTGAAATGTTTTATTTATTTTAAATTTGCTAACTGTTGAAAGTACCAATTCCTCACATATGAATAATAAGATTTCAGGACTTCCTAGACCTCCATTTCATAAATCTGTGGATTCTATATTTTCTCCTCGTGTATTAAACTGTTTTAATCTCACCAGAAACCGTTTCCGAAATAATGAGTAGCAATATAAAAAGTGTCTTCGTAATCCATTTAGTGTTCCAGGAACAACTACGTTTGTCCTTTTCTCTTTAACTACTTCGGTTTTACTCAAAATTTTTTGTTTTATTTTGTCTTGGGCTGTTTTTAAAATATGTTTTATCTCTTTAACTTATCTTGATGAAGGAATTGGATATTTAATGGGTCTTAGCTACTGACTGGAGCCTTATTATAGGGACTTATGCCAGTAGTTGACAGGCATGTACTCTCATAAATTCAAAGTGATATGCTCAATATAACGAGTCTTAAAATGTAACCATTCACTATTGTATCGTAAAAAAAAAAAATTCTAATGATTTTGATTAAATATATTTAAAAAATATGTTCTTGACAGTGATCAGCATTTATTGATAAATTTAAGTCTGGTTAATTTAAGTTATTATTAAAGGGATTGCAAAATTTAATGGGTGTCATCTACTGAGAACTATTGGTTCTTTTGCTAGTTGTTGACAGACCTGTACTCACAGAAATTCAGAGATATACTAGATATAAAGAATCATCCGTGACTCTCATTAAAAAAATAATTGCTAGTGATATAGATTAATAACAAAGCAAAAATAGGTTCTTGAAAGTGTCCAGCATTTACCAAAAAATTTAAATCGGGAAAAGCAAGAAGTTAGATTTATAATATATTAGAGGTAATTTTTGTTAATCTTAAAAATGAAGAATATGAAATTTCGCATAATTATACCCATGTACCCATACCTCACAGTATGGGTACATGGATACATACATCATTTTATATTTAAATACTTTTTATTTATTTATTTATATAAATGTATTTTTTTTTTTATCACATTTTGTAGGAAAGTCACAGAAAGATCCAAAAGAATATATCCCTTACTTAAATTCATTGAAATCAGTTACTGGTTACTAGGAACAGTATCAGTTACTGGTGCAACTAAACTATTCGCTTAACTATTTACAATTTAAAAAAATTAAGATGGATGTTTCATGCACTTTAAATGTGTTGTACCATGGTGAGAAATAGATTTATAAGACGAATCCAAGAAAAAATAGAATAACATCAAAATTTTAAGTTTACATCTAAAAGATCAAAGAAATTCCCTAAACCATGTCAGCTACTGGCAAAGATGGGCTCTGAGTACTAAGTATTTTACTGAAATACTATCACTTTTTGAGTACCAAAGAGTTTAATTACTATTTCATTTGATGTCAAACGATTTACTGAAATATTGATTAGATTCAACATAGTGATTCAATTTGAGTCAAACACTTTGTACTCAGAATAACATTTGCCCATCTCTGTCTAATGGTGCTTTTATCCTATAGTCCATTTCTGGTATTTGAACCTTTTAGGACCTTATAATTGATACATAATCTGACTCTGACGTTTAGTGAAATTACAGAAGCCCTCTCCAAAATGGCAAAATATAACTGTTTTATTAAAAAAATATTAAAAAATTATCTCTTTATTGTTCGTGTAATTACATTTAAAAGGACTTATTAGGAATCACTTAAACATCATTTCATATAGGTAGTTAGTTTCTTTCTTTTTTTCCAAAGTAATTATCATTATATTTATGAAAAAAAAAGCTTTCAGGCTGTACACCTCCCCCAAAATTAAAACCTGGATCCACTAGTGAGTGAAATAATTTATGTGGGTAATACACTTTTTTTTTTTTTTAATTTGACCTTATGTTTATTAAATAAAAAAAATAATAAACTCACCGTTGACAGTAGTGTCTTGACTGGCCACATGAGGGACGATTGGGGAACAAATGTGTCTGATGGATTCCAATATCACTGCCTCTGTGTACGGCATCATTAGCCTATCTTCCAACTTAATATTCTTGCCACAGGTTACTGCGTCCACTTCTTCTTGCATTTTTTTCTGAACCTCAGGTTGATTTGAAATAAAACCGAGGATCTTAATGATGAGATTAGCGATGGCAGTATGGCCTCCGATTATGTCTTCCAGAGCAAACATGGCATTCTCTCTGTTCATTTTTCCAGATTCGACGCTTTCCAAAAGCATGTGTAGGAGATCTCCTTCCTGCCCTCCATTACTAACGACTCGCTCATCCATGAATTCTCTTATGATCTTTCCTAACTTCCTCATTTTCTTCATATTGTTCATGAGCATCGGGTTGAGCCATGGCATGAAGTCGGCAGCGTAACCCTGGTTGACTTCGTAGAATATGATGTCGAAGTACATGAGTATTTTGGAGTATACGGGGTCTTCCAGTTGGAACCTGGTGTTGGTGAAGAAGGACATGAATACGTTGGCGCATGTGTGGAGCATAATAGGCTTGATGTTTGTGACGCCTTTGCTAAGCTGATCGCAGAGTACGACCAACTCGCGATTCAGCAGCGACTCCAGCTGATGGAATTTGCTGGAGAAAGCCTTTGGAAAAGTGTGGTCTCTGATCATTTCCCTCCTTGTCTTCTGTAGTTCTGACCAGTCACAAAATGCCAAAGCTGAAAAAGAAAAAAAAAATGAGGTAAGAATTGTATAATTGTGTACTTGCTTAAAAAAAACAAGTAAATTTGAACTGAAATATAATTCAAGTTTACATAGAAAATATATTATAATAAGATAAAAGTTTTTAAATAATAATAAAAGGTTTATATTTATCGAAGAACTTGAAGTAATAGAGCATTTCGGAGGTGTGGTGGGGACAGGGGAGTGGATGAAGTCTACTGTACTGTTACGTATACGGCTGCACAACATAATGCAGTTTCTCTCAGCTCTGATTCATTAACATGCCTTTACAAAAGCTAATATAATACTTTTAAAACTATATATTTTTATTCTGGGTCGACAGAGTGAGAAAAAAAAAACAGAAATGCATTTATTGGATTAATGTTTTGAAGCTTGAAACAGTATTCTAAGCTAAAACGTTTAAGTTCCTTGCCAAAAAAAAGGTGTCTTCTTTTATACTAATGTTTGTCCTTGTAAATTGACCATGTTCATTGGTCTCATGAGAAAAATGCATGTCGGCTCTTAATCATTATATTAATATTAGTATAATATTTATACTATTAAGCCAACATAAATAAGTTTACATTTGTTTATATCAAGACTAAGAGCTGTTTAATAACGAAAATTTAAGTTTTTCTGCATAACATCGAAATTTAAACATAAAGTTATAACTGCTCTAACTTTTGAATGGTTGAAGGTAAGATAGTACAATTATATATTCTTAAAGAAAATTTAACGCTAAACAACTTTCTTTATCACGACTTTTTCGTAAAATGAAAAGAAAAAGAGTTAGCGAGCCAAATAATGATAAAAATGTGAGGCAAACTTTTTTTTTTTTTTCGAAATTAGTGAATTACGAGGAAAGATATCCGAAAACATAGAACATTGCATAAAAATGAATATAATCATTTCTGTTGCAAATTTTGTTGCTTTAATTTTACACCATCATTGCTATCGATAGAACGCATAGTTTCACCGATACAAGCGAAAAACCGATAAAGTGACCTTTTTGAATAATAAATTCAAATTTTCGACTTGAAATCCACGGTTATGGGATAAATGACTATTATTTCATGTCTTAATACAGTGAATACTATAAATTTAAAGAGTTGGCAACTTTCTATCTCTATATGCCTTCTCCATGTATACGTTTTCTACCTATATAGAGTCTCTATATATCTTTACATGACCGCCATTTTGTATTCCAACGGCTTTATGTATTATTTTTATCAGGCCTATGTACATGGTCAATTTATACGGACAAACCTTTATATGGTTTCCCTAGTCTCATGAAGTAGCTCCATCATAACCATATTTTTTCTACACTAATTATATTTTTTTTTTTTGCATTATGATTTTAGATAAAATCCTATTTTGTCAGAAATTTACATTAATTTAAGTATTAAAACCGTAATTTTGTTTTTAAAATTAATTTTTCACTAATTATCTATGCAAATATGCATCAGAAAAATTTGGGGTACTACTGTACTGTGATTTCAGTTTGAGTTATCAAAAATACCATGATCATAATATAAATGAAATATTCACGGTATGAACATTCTTTAGATCGCGATTTACGACTTCCGCAAGCTCCCAACTAGTCTTATTCAGTTTAAATTCACGAATATTTCACCCAAAATCCAATGCAGGATCCATCCCTGAATTGGCCCACTCAAAAAAAAAAAAATTTTGTACAAACCCTTTCGTAACATTGAGTCTTGAACAGTAATTAGAAATTACAACTATTTCAATTAAAGTGTTCACAAGAAAAAAAAAACAATCGCCCAATTCAATAAAGCCAGTGTTTTATCTTATTTTCTTATATATTAAAAATTTATATTTATACTATTTTTAACAAAAAATACAATTTACTGAAGTCTGGCTATTATCGTTGTTCTGTAAGTAAGGCGAATTCAACAATTCAATATTTCTTCAAGTATAAAAGTTATATATCTGCTCTTTTAAAACATAGGTAAGTATTCATATTATCAATATAAAAAGATAGAAATGTTCAGTTTGTTGAATTCATCCTTTTTACAGAACATCGATTATATGAAAATTAATATTTAGGGTGTCTAATAAACAAAATTAATTGGTAAATATATATTTCTGATAAGTCATTAAGCCTTTGTGTTTTACAGTGCAAACTGTTTAGAAATATTTATTTTTGTTAGATGGCTCACTCATATTTTTTAATGAAGATTTTTTATAAGACTTTTATAATCAACAAGGTGTTCTATGTAAAGAGCGAATCGTAAAATTCACCTTTTTTTCAAGAAAGACTATTTACAAGGCTCTGAAAAGTGATATTGTTCTGTGGCACTGTTATAATATGAAGTTAAGGATTCGCTCTTTTTACAGAATACCGATACTATAGCCATATCTAGTTGGTTTATGGATCTTAGATCTAAAGTATATAAGAAGTTGTACTCACAGTTATCTTTGTCGCCGCCGAAGATGTTGAGGTACCTACTGAAGTTTGGCCTGCTGTCGAAGTGCTCTCCCTTGTTGATGAGGATTTCCTTGACGGTTTCTAGGCTGGAGACGACCAAACACTCGACGCTGCCAAGACGGATGCCGAAGACAGGTCCGTACTTGGAGGACAGCTTGTCGAATGCTTGGTACGGCAGCTCGTATCCTCCGAGTAGATGAAGACTTCCGAGGACAGGGAGTGGTGTGGGTCCAGGGGCCGAACCCTTGGGCCTCTTGAGCACCGACAGCACAGCCCACAAGATGGCTAGGCCGAACAGTAGGAGATACGAAGCAGAGCTGAGGTAGATCCCTTCCATTTTGGGTCTTTGGCGTGGATGTTGGTGCCTGCTCTGAGACTCTACTTCCTATGGTCTCAGGTCTCCAGAAGGATCTATATATACACACAAGGGACTCCATTAGCCATTCAATCTCATTACTTTAACAAATATATCCCCCCTACTCTTTTCAACAGTCCTATCTCTCTGCCTCTTACAATTCAATACCGAACAAGTCGAGTTGTTATGTCGGACCTTTCTTATCTGTGATAGAGGATATTCGGTCTCTTAACTTTGCCGAGATATTGTATACTCTTTTAGTTTAAGAGATAGTGAAAGTGTATTATTATTTTCTTATTGTGTTTAAATAAAAATATTTTCTTTCTTTCTGGGCGCCTTTTAGTCTAGACTGGGGAACGGAGACAATAATATACAGTGAAACTTAGCGGACACCTCTCTATAGCGGACAATTATTATAAACCCAGTAAAATTTTATTATATTAAGGTCCTCCGAATACCGGACGCTCTCTTTAACGGACCTGCCCATAAAAATATCAATGATTTTGACTATGGGGCCCAATTCTTGAGTTTTAAAAAGTTTGGTAATAATATTACTCAATTCGATTTGAACATATATGGGTTTTTTAGATCCAGATTGAAAACGCACCAATTCCAAGAGTTTTCGTAAATAAAATAGTTGTAGGTTACGATGAGATGAAATTTGCCAATGCGCATTGACAAGAATTCTCGAATATGGGTCTAATATTTTTCGACCTAGTATTACAAAAGTTTTATTTAAACAGGTGACCCCACAACTGTAATCTCCCCTTGTTAGAAGGGTGATGTCTAAACCTCAAGTGATAAGCCATCATAGCTGATTGGCATTTGATTTTTTAATGGCTGGGGCGTGTTTTAGGGAGAATTTCTTATCAATTTTCTCTAGGGGATAATTTTAATTTATTTTTTCATATATCTGTAATTTGCCATTTTGTATTTTAAAACTGAATTGAATTTGTGTTGGTTGTTTTTATAATAGAAGAACCTAACGACCCCAAAAACTGGAGTGTCTGTTACTGGTGTAATATACGCTGTTGGAATTTCCTAAATTGTTCATGAAATAATTAACTAATTGACTGTATATAAAAAAAAAAGTCGGTAAATATTAAATTTTCTGTCAATTTAACCTATTACCGGTACATTTACCTTATGTACAGGGTTTCCTCTTAGTAAAGGAAAATGTTTAAAGAGGTAAAGTAGACTTCATAGTCCGTGATATAGACACCTTTTTATTGAATTATTAACATCCGCCTGAAACTTTGTGAATTGTTTCATCTCATCGTAACCTACAACTATTTTATTTACGAAAACTCTTGGAATTGGAGCGTTTTCAATCTGGAGATCTTCAAACTTTGTCTATTTAATTAAGTACAAAAACTCGTAAATACCCATTTACTTTCTACTTGGATCATAGGATAATTTGATCACAAAATCGATAAAAAAGGCGGTCTACAAAAATATTAGGCAGTTTGTCCTATATAACCTAGTCATTTTGAAAATTTGGGAGTTTAGGTCACGCCAAATGGCTCAATATTTTTGAAGACCACGTTTTTTCTCGACTTTGTTATCAAATTATCTTACGATACAAGTAGAAAACAAATGTGTATTAACGAGTTTTTAGTACTTAATTAAATAGACAAAGTATGGACCCATCCAGATTGAAAACGCCCCAATTTCAAGAGTTTTCGTAAACAAAATAGTTGTAGGTTACGATGAGATGGAAGATATTTACGAAGTTTCAGGTGGATGTTAATAATTCTATAAAAAGTGGTCTGTTCCACGGACTATCAAGATCTAGAAAAAAGTTCATATAAGTAATAACCCGATTTCCAGCATAAAGGTCGGAAATTCAAGTTTTGTGTTTTTTTAAGTAACTCACGTTTTTTGTAGAATAAGAACCGAAGTAAAAAAAAAATATACTTAATTTAAGTAATTAAAAATTGCTCCTCAGTAAACTAGACAAAATTTACTTTTAACGAAAGTAGAGTTTGCCATTGGTAAAACCATTTAAAGAGTATTTATGACTAGCTAAACTAAGCTTATTTCTGTTTAAAAAAAATCATAAATTATTCGCGACTTTCTTTATCACTCTCCAACTATGCTAAAGTTACCCCACTTTTCTGGAAATTTCCTTGTTAAATAAGTCTTGATTTAGGTGAAGGTTTATTAGGAAATAAGTTGAGATTCATTTTGAGAAGTTGTCCAAACAAATTATGTGATTTGATATCCTATCTCCTAAAAGTACCCGTGTTTTCAGCGAAAATGCATCCTATAAATTTTTGCAGAGTTTATGCAGAATATTAATTTATTTTTTTCATGATCTGGGATTTATCATAATAAACTTCATTGCATGAATAAAATTTTTATTTAAAATAAAAAAATAATGATTTTCAAGGAAGGAGATGGTCCGGGGTGGCGGTCATAAAAAGGCTAAATAGTGACAAAACTATTTTATTAAAATCCGACATTTCGACCCGATTTTGCAGGTGTTCTTCAGAGGTGTGTCGTGTAGAACTCAATTCAGTTTTAAGTGAAACTCCTAGCTGAACACACCTCCCTGAAGAAGATCTGCAAAGTCGGGTCGAAACGTTGGCTTTTAATAAAATAGTTTTGCCACTATTTGGCCTTTTTATGACCGTCACCCCGGAACATCTCCTTCCTTTATACTGCAACGGTCATGTGGCAAAAAATTATTTTTTTTTAAACAGAACATGACTTAGTTTAGCTGCTCAAAAATTCTCTTTCGATGCTTTAACCAATAACAAACTATATTCTCATTTATAGTAAATTTTGTCTAGTTTACTGGTAAGTAATTGATAGTTGCTTAAATTAAATATTTTTTTTAATCTTAGCACCCTTTTCAACAAAAAACACGACACTTAAAAAAAAAAGAAAAACCTACTTTTCTGACGAAAATCGAAGCAATGTTTGTATACATTTTTTTGTATCTCATGAGGTCTTCTAGGATCTTTTTAAGTATTCTCCTCTACTTACCGGACATCCTGTATATGCAGAGTAAACTCTGAGAGGTAATTATAGAGAAAATTTCCAGCAAAAAAATGAATTCAATGTCGAACGAAAAATGAGTAAAGTCGATTTTTGTTTTCTCTTTTTAAGATAGTCACGTAATCTTTTTATATAAAGTGATAACTCAAAAATTATTGATACGTGTAGTTAAAAATTGCTTGATAGTAAACTAGAAGAAATTTTCTTTAAATACAAATAGAGTTTGACTATTTCTAAACGGATCGATGGGAACTTTTTAGTTGCCAAAGTACGCTGAGTTATGTTTTTTTATTGAATCATGGATTATTTTATAACCCAAATATCTATTGTGGATATACATAAAATATTGTTTTAATTAATAAAAAGTGTATGTTCATAATTAGTGTAGTCCAAATACAAGACCGAGACGAGTCTTGGTCTTGCAAAATCAGTCTTGGTCATGGTCTTGAGCAAGACTCTCGCAACCGTCTTGCAGTTACTTATTAGCTTATTACTATAGATATATTACTGTATTTTTTTAGATAGGAGAAACCTAACTAAGCCCGAATAAAAAATTAGAGGAGTTTAAGGCAAAAGTATATTGGTTATACCAATTCTTAATATATAGTAACTAAGATTGTCAAGTATTAGTAACTATTTTGCCAGAATTTTTATTTAAAAAATCGATTTTTTTTTTACCAATCCTGGTCTTGGTCTTGCAACAGTTAGGCGGCCTTGGTCTTGCAAAGTGCAAGACCAAGACCGATTTTGGGCAACACTACTCATAATTTATTACAAAAAGTGATGTCAGGTCATGATTTAGTAAAAAAGTTTAGCATAGTTTGGCCACTTAAAAGTCCCCTTTTAATGGTTTTGACAAAGATGAACTCTATTTGAATCTGAAGGAAATTTTATCTAGTTTACTAGGAAGAAATTTTTAATTACCTGAATTAAATACTTTTTGTGTTATCGCCTCCTACGAAAGGGAAAACGTGACCACCTTAAGATAAGACAAAATTGGTCTTAACTCCTCTTTCATTGGAAATCAAATAAAATTTTTTGTTGGAAATTTTATCTAGAATCACCTCCTAGAGTTAGGCCATTTAGAACTAAGACACTTTGTGTATATATATATATATATAATCATGTTCTAGAGATTCTACAATATACATAAAATGCATTCCCTCCTCCCCCCCCCACCTCTCTCCGATGACCTTTGACATAGTGGAAAAATGTATTATTTTAGGAGAAAATACGACTTAAAAGTGTCAGCAAATGAGCCATATCACTCAGGCCCCATTTTCCTCATTTTTGTTTTAAAAACAGATGAAATGGGGTTTGATTGTTTCATTAATGCTTACATGAGGAAAATGAATAGCAGTTTAAAATCAATTGAATTGCTGAATTTCATTCTCATTTTTTGATTTCCAACATTTTAAAATGTTAATAATGGCGGAGGCCAGAAATAAAAAAACACCGAAAAGCATTTGTATAATGCAAACTCAATCCACATGCAAATTTATATTACTCTTCTTAATTCAGTTTGGAATACCTGTGGAGGTGCGTGTAATTTTAAAAATTGCTTGGATATAATCTGGTTATTTTGAAAATTTGGGGGTGTAGATCACGCCAAACGGCTCAATATTTTTGAAGGCCACCTTTTTTCTCGACTTTACCCTCAAGTTATCTTGCGATTCAAGTGGAAAGCAGATGGGTATTTACGATTTTTTGGTACCTAATTAAATAGACAAAGTTTGCCCACTTTCAGATTGAAAACGCCCAAATTCCCTGAATTTTCATAAATAAAATATTTGTAGGTTATGATGAGATGAATAAATTTACGAAGTTTCAGCCGGATATTAATAATTAGATAAAAATGGGTCTGTATCACGGAATAATATATTCAATTGATTTTTTAACATTTTTTAAAGTATACCCGTACGAAAAAAAACTAATATATAAATTTATTTTTACATATATTTTTTACTTTAATATTATTCGTTATACAATAATTATGTTAATTATCACTCATAAGTTTGATACATAATAATGTATATTATATAAGGACGCAATAAC